TCCTCATCTCATCTTCTTGCTTCTCTGTCCAAGTCAAATATCTTTCTATCTCTCTTTCTCTGACTATTATGATGAATTCAGTGGAAGTGTGGGCATTCCTTTTGCGTGTTGACTCTCCATTTCCAGTAGCATTAACGACTTCTGCCTCTGGTATCTGTTTCTCTTTGCTGCAAGCGCTGTGCCAAACACATTCAAAAACAGAGTTAGGAGCAAGATTCAAGAATTGTCTTATAATCTTGTTTCAATTAAGAGGGATTTTTTGACTGACATGTAAGATCGTGAGGAGGGGCAAAGTCGTAATCATGTCTTCCTCTCCAGATGCAGCACAAGTAAATGACCAAGAGCACCAGAACGAGTATCACCACACAAGATACGGCTATGGCTATTTTACCACCTTTGGACAAGTGACCATTCTCCCATAACAGCGGACAAGAGGGAAGAGAAGGTACACCGCATAATCCTTTGTTTCCAGAGAGACTGTTAAAAAGAGTATTGTAGTTGAGTGTGAGCTCATAGATAAAAAAAACAAAATTGCATGTGGACTTTTGGGATTAACATACTCGATAATTCCACCATGAACACCAACTGAATAAACCTCCTCTGGTACCTTTCCTTGCAGTTCGTTGCCATTCAAAAGCCTAAATACAACATAAACATACAGTCAGGACTCAGGATCTCTGTTAGTGGTTTGTAGTTCACATGGAATGGAGAAAAATATCGACACAGAACAGTTTAGTTAAAAGATTGATAAGAAGCAGCTTCTTACACGAGCTTTAAGCTTGAAGAAGTCAGACTTTCAGGTATTGGTCCTGTGAGCTGATTGTCTGACAAGTCACTGCGGATCAATAAGCAAACAGTGAATATATATTTACAGAGCCACAATCGTTTCTCTAAACCATCCGCACACTCCAATAACATGGTTTTGTTGTCATCTTAAATGCATTCCTTTATATGAAACTAGTCTACAATTTGAAAACAGCATCAAGGTCGTCTATGATAAAACTGGACAAGTTATCGTGAGCAGAGGTATGTTAACTTACAGACTCACAAGAGATTTATGACCAAGACCTGAAGGTAGTAGACCACTTAAGGAATTTGAACTTAAGTTCCTGCAAGCAAATACAAAAAAAAAAAAAAAAAAACTCATCAGCATGCATCCAATTGCATCGTAATTAGCTATGAACTCGGAGATGAAAAATCCAAGTCAAAAGGTGATAACTTACAGGCTATTCAAATTTGTCAGCAGACTAATTTGTTCACTGATAAATCCTTTCAAGCCTTGGCTTCCTAGGTCTCTGTAACAGATTAAAACAATTACACATTAATAGTAAGAAACTGTAATGCATGCATAACAAATTATAACTTTATAAGCACCAACAAGGCAACAAAGTTACTATACATTGGTTCGAACAACTTATGATAACAGCAAGATCGAGAAACTGTTCAAGATAAATAACATAATTTGTAACCTTTAAGCTACAGTAAACCAATAGAGATGCACCTAACTAAATCAGGTAATTTATTTGCTCTTTCTTACTATATCCGTCTAATCTACTTTACAATGTGACTACGAATAAGGCAAGATAAGTTTTGATTAGGTGTATGCATCCATGACACTCACATTTGGAATATGACAAGGCCAGATCCTTGTGGGTTTGGCCGGCACGCGACTCCTTCCCAAGCGTCCCAGCTCGTAGGCGCACATGGATCTCCATTCCATCCCATCCTATCAGGAACACGTAGTGAATCCTTCAATGCTTTCATAGCAGTCACTGCAAAAACAAACAGAGAGTCAAAGCTTGCCAAATTTGCTCAAATAAAAAAAAACGAATTATGTATGCTTAATTTGACATTACCTTGTTCAGGCACAGTGGCCATATCAGCGGGAACAATGGCGTAATTCTCAAGCCCACTGATAATCGGCGCACCAGAAACAGGCGAAAGTTTCACCGTCACCGTAGTACTGCTCAGATTCTTCACCGTATAATTCAAGCTAAACGCCGCAAATCCCCCGACCTCGCCGAAAACATCGACCCTGCTCACTTTCTCATCGTTCACCACCAGATCAAACACTCTCTGCCCAGCCTTGTTCACCGTCGAATCAATCTCCGAGAAATGGAACCACAGCAAGTAATCAAGCTTCGCGTCAACCTCCAGCTCGTAAACCAACGATCCCTCTCCGGATACCGTCACCGCCGTCTGGTAAAGCTTCATCGGGAAATAATTCGGCGCCTGCTCCACCCCCTTGATCCTCTCCTCCGTCGACAACGACCTCGCCGCCGATTTCGAGTCCTCCGATCGGAATTCCTCATCCGATTGCCACGACCGCCCGAAACTATCGGTGTGGTTGGTGAACCCAGGCCCCCACTGATCCGACCCGCACGTGAGCCTCCCGTAGTTAACCAGCAGAACGTTCTGGCCAGTCCCGTCGGCGTCGTACGAGGACGAATCGACCTGTAAGACTTCGAGCGAGCCTACGATCGGAGGATCAGTGGCGATGCTGTAGAAGCACAAATCGAGCTCTCCGTCTCCGATGAAAGCGAACAGATCGGAGTAAGAGCCGTCGCGGAGGAGACTCTCCGGCCAAGGAGATCTCCAGGAGAAGACTAGAGTTCCTTCGACGGAGACATCGAAGGACGGGGTATGAGACTTGCCGTCGTAATTATCGTAAACTGTGAAAGTCCTGAGATAGTAACGGCCGGGAGGGAGCGGGACGACGTAGCAGTTCTTTTTCCCGAAGGAGAGAGGGAAGTACCTGATGGTCTTCTCGGCGACGAGATGGAAACGGAGAGGCTCGGATACGACTGCGGTGCTTCCTCCGGAGTAGAACCGATCGGGAAGCCATGTTCTGTTGAAATTGTCCGTGGAGCCTTCGGGACTTCCACAGTCGATGAAGATAGAAGTATCTACAAAACAGAGGGAGGATTCAGTTCATCATCATTAATCATTATCATCAGATCTAGACGGAGAAGATGAGAGACTTACTGAATGGTGAGGAGAGAGAGAGGGGGAGGAGGAGGAAGATGGAGGAGAGAGAGAGGAAGAAGGAGGGAGATAAGGGCATTGTTGGAATTAGTTGAATTATGGTTTGAGAGAGAGAGAGTGTGGAGAGTAAAGGAAGCCTCTCCAATGTGTATGGCAGTGTGATTTTTTGGAGGAAGAAGGAAGATGAAGGCGAGATTAGCGGGTGGACTGAGTTTAGTTGGGTGATTAAAGGAGACATTTTACACACTTCCTGCTGACTTTATTTTCACTTTTTATTCCCCTATGGATTCGCTTTTTACTATTTGTTGTTCCTTTTCAATATTCTGTTTTGACTAACTATTTGAGCTAAATTGATTATCTGTTTTTTTTTTTGTTCTTTTGTTGTAATAATGCAATGGAATAGTAGTTGTGTGTTACACAACTTGTGTACGAAACAGAAAACGAGTAGATAGATAGTGTCAAAAATGTAGTGAGAGAGAGAGAGAGTGTGTGTGTGTGTGTTTGTCTCGCGAGAAGAGCCAATGAATGAATGAAAAGAGTTACGTCAGTGAAGATTGCAAATTCTACAAGTCATCATGACGTGGCCACCATGCACAACCAGACAAATATTCACCACCACCTAAAATTCACCGTCGATATACTGAACCCCAACCAACCATTAACTCCTTTTTTCCTTTTATTACAAAAGTATATGAAATTGTGGTCTATTTGGTAACCAAGTCAAACTGGTATAATCTTAGTTTAATCAAGCCAAAGTAAACTCTTCTCTTTTCTAATGACGAGAAAATTAAGGCGGATTTCTGATCATGGTACCCACTTTCTGGTTGGATTAAGCATTTCGGTCAACCCAAATTACTGGTATGTACATGATGAAAATTTAGAGTGAAAAACAAAAGAGCCAAACGTGGTTAGTAGTTAGTTACGAAAGTGACTGTCACAGACTCAGAGGACAACGCGGTCGAAGTAAATGGAAGATATTAAATTCTCTGAAGTCTGAATCCGTGACTCGCCTGCTTGTCGTTTCCTTCACACTTTCACAGTACTACAATGAGAATAAGACAAGACCCGGTCTAAGCCACTAACGTTCCGGTTTTCTCTGAGATCATTGACTTATGGCCTCGGATTCAATGGGCTTAAATCACAGCTCATTAATTTTGACACATACATTGATACATACCCCTCCAGAGGTCGACCCATCCAACTTGTTTTAGTGTAACCTTTTTTCTTTGTAATGCTATATTTGTTGGAACCAAACAAAAAGCTTCTTTCAGACTGTTTTTACAGCAAGATGCTGGCATGCTGCTCAGATTAAAGGATAAAGTAAAAGAAAAAGATAGTGGAAACAAGAAAGAGAGCTAAAATTTTAAGAAATGGTGCGACTCCGAGTGAATCCCAAATCAGTATGCGAGAATCATACTGTACATACTTGCGATCTTGCAGCTAGCGAATGAAAAATAAATAAAAACATATATATGCAGGCTGTGGGGTTCGAACCCACGCGCACTTATGTGCAGAAGAACTTAAGTCTTCCCCCTTAACCACTCGGGCAAACCTGCTGTTTGTTTCTTAAACACATTCTTTCATTAAAGTTAAAGGAACGTGCTTACCTAAGCAATTTCGGCTTGAGAGAAAGCTTGTGAATAAACAATCAACCGATAGAATCAAACATGTTTACATATAAAAATGACCAAGACTGGTTTTGGTGTTAACTGAGAGAAAACGACTTCAGTAAGAACGAGTTTATGATAGAGCCAACACATCTAAGGTTTTTAAACTCGGTTAAATTCTCAAAAGCATCATCATTTACATACGGACAAAGAGCAAGTTAGATCCGAAACACGTTCCCAAGTAGTTCCTTCTAAACCCGAAAAACAAAAAGCGAAACAGTTTGAAACCCAAAGCACTTGACAAGCAAAGGAAAATATCATACAGCAGCGTGGCACCGTTATGCCAACCAAAAAATATTATCAATGCGTTCCATAGTCTCGACTCTCGAGCTCGTGTGAAGTTTTTGCTTAGTTATCAGTCTTTCCAGTGCCCCAAGCAAGAAAGCTATCCTCTGATCCAAATTCCTGAACAGAGAGCATAACAAAACCCATTTACCTTCTGTACCTGATTGCATCAAAAAAGTTTCCTAAAGATAATAACAAAAGGGATGTAAGTTTTACCAGCTGGCTCAGACGAAAGTCAGGTGGAGTATCGAGGTCAATGTTGGAGGGATCAAGAACCAGTCTCTGACAATCCTCCAGATCCCGTTTGAAGTCTTCTGTTCCTAGATGCGCGTAATCAGCAAAACACGGCTGCTTGTTCCTTGAGCCACCATTGCTTACGTTTCCTTCTCTGTCCTGTGATACCTGCAAGAGATCATCGCAAAGAGACAAGGCTTCCACAAGCTGCTGCGAGTTCAATACAAACTCAGACCCACTGTCCACCCAGTTATGATCTTCCTCGGCTTCGTTTTCATTCTCTTTATCCTTCTCCTCGTCTTCATCATCATCCACCATTTCATTTATTCCGTTCTCAGGCTCATCTTCTGGATTCTGTTGAATCCCCTGAACCTCCTCTTCTAGATACATTGCCTCAGGTGTCTAAGGTAAACAAAGGAAACAAGTATCAGTTAGAGCAGTAGCAATAACTTGTAAGTTCTCTTCTCAAAGTCAACACAAGAAAGCAATGTTACCTCAACAAAAGAAACCTCAGGGGCAGTTTCATAGTCATGGGGAGTAGCACTAGCACTAGCACTAGCGCTAGCATAGCCATTAATAACGTGAGAGCCAGAGCAAAGTCGCTCAGGATGTAGAAGAGGCTCGGGTGTAAACAATCTTGGAGTGACAGGATCGGCTTTCGGGGTAGGCATTGCAGCAAAGATATCTTCAGAGACTTCCTGTTCAGCTTTATCACCTTGCTTGACTGCAGCTACTTGCTGCTGGTAGAAGATCTTGGAAACAACGTAGTCACCTTCCTTCTCATCTTCGTCTGTTCCCAAGTGATACTGATGCATCACCCAGTTCGTTTTCACTGCTTTCCCACCATAAAGAACCATTATCTTCTTGCAGCCTCTTTGGACACCGTCCAGGACAACCGGTTTAGTTCTTCCCGTCTTGTGCCAGCGCACATCGCCGAAATCATCGTCGTGGATCTTTCTGCGCTTTCGAGTTCCTGTGCTGTAAGCTTTGATGGCTCTGTGGAAGAAGTGGGACACTGTTCCATCGTGCTTAACACCTGAAAGTATTTCAACTTTTGAGTAACGATAGATAAAGGTTTTGATCACTGGAAAGTGGAAGTAGACCTCTGCATTGCCTAACCTGGTAAGTTCTTGGGATGAGTGTAGCAGATTCCATCATCTTGATTGACGGTTGGGATGAACTCATCAATGAAAGGGTGTGAAGTTAAACCCAATAAGCCAGATTTGGCAAGCAGATGCCATATGATCTCTGGATCAGTTGGATCGAATTTCACACCTGGAGGCAATCCTGGCCAGTCATCAACTTCCTGGAATTGTACAAAGCGCTTGTGTTAACATAACATTAGGAAACTGGCATCAAGAGAAACGAAATATCAAGCAAAAGCGTACATCGCTGCTGTTGTCAATGACGTGATGGCAGTTGGGACACTGCCTGGTGGGATTGCTTTTGTACACAACTTGGCGCGGGTCAGAACCAGCCGATGCACTCTTGATTTTCGTCGCGAAACGGTTTTTATCAACCAACCATGATCGCCTGCATACGTACAGCAAGAAAAGGATCCATTGGTCAAGAAAGTAGTTCTCTATATTCAAGACGAAGCAGTACTATTCAGAAACATGATGTCAAAACACATAGCTCCAGTGAAAGATTTTAAGCTTTAGAATCAGTTCTGAGTGCCATTTTCAAATACAGGTTGAAGAAGACCAAATCCCTATAACTCTTGGAAAAACAACAGAAACTAGATTCAGCAGAATACTTGTGAAGATATGGAATCAGTTGGCAATACAAGACTTTGCTAAAGATTAAGCAAGTAGAAAAAAATGTATGCTTTACGAAACTCATGCTCATCGATCAATTTTTTTTGTGAAGATAAAAAAGCATCTTAGAACTGGAAGCTTCAGAAATCCGTTTCTAAAACCATAGCAATGAAGTAGCCCCAAATGCAGATTTCAAATTAACGCTCTTTCGCGCTTCGGAAATCAAAATCACAGAGCTCCATTGATTCACAGAAGCGATAAAAAGAAAAAAGCTTCAGACTTTTCCGTCCGGTTTCCCGGTTGAAATTGACAGAAATCGACAGTTTTCCGGTTTTCCGTCCACCGGTAATTGACAGTTTCCCATTACTAGTCAAACTCCAGAGCGGAATAGATGGGAAAAAGTGCTTACCCAGCCATGAGAGCTCGATGAAGAAAAAGATCAGAACGAAGAGAAGCAGAATCCGAGAAAAACCCTAGGCAACTCTCTCTGGTCAAAAGTGAATTGATATTTGGGTTTTGAAGTCTTCTCGACACCCCAATCGATACTAATAAAACACGGTTCGGATTAACACTGTTTGCTTGGGTACGATAAAAGTTTCATTTTTGCTTTAAAAGAAAGAAAATTGATTTCGAGAAAATAAAATCTTTTAGTCCCGGAAATAACTGGGAAGTGGAGAGATAGAGAGAGGCGCCAGTTTTATGTTTTTGGAAGAAGGAGGACTACGAGGGGAGTTATTAGGTGCGACTCGGTCCCATACGACGACTTTGCGTTGACTTCTAGCTTAACAGGCTATCAACGGCTGTGATTATGTTTCGTGTGGTCTAATAAGTTTTTTTTGTATTTTAAGGTGACTAATGACTAATGTGCATGGGTTTATATATTTGAAATTCATGGAGTGATGACTGATGAATGATGATATTGTGGTACTGTTATGATATGCGACAGGTGGACCTTCCATTCCATTACAGTGAATGAATTATATTAGTCATCCAAATAACAAAAAGCAAAGCATTAGTGTTTTTTTATCAGCTTTCCATGTCCTTTTCACACATGCTAATCTGATTTTAATAAACTGGTTTGAGATCCCGAATCAATTTTTTGGTTCGTTCCAACCTATTTTAATCATTTTTTTGGTAGGTTTAATTTCTTAAATTATGTTAGTTTTCTCTATCACACTATTTAAGGTATTTTCATTATTAAAAAAAAAATAGTGGAGTAAATAACTAAATTATACTCCCTCTGTTTTTTAAAGTAGAATTTTCCCAGAAAATATTGTTATCTAAAAATGATTTTTTTCGGTTTTCAATGTTTTTTTATTAATTAATAATGATGCATTGTAAATTTCAAAAACAATTATGGAAATTATTAATTTGTGATTGGTTAAAAGTTATTGAAATTGTTAATCACAGAAAATGATGCATTTCTATTTAAGTTTTAGTTTGTGTTTTTATTTTTTAATAAGTGTGAAATCGATGCCAAAAAAAAAAGTGTGAAATGATCTCAGAAAATTCATCTTTCAAATAAGAAAAGAGAGTTGGTTCCGGTTTGGTTACGTTTGGTTTAGTGAGTCAACTGAAAGTCAAACCGAAGTTGTATCTGACTTGATTGAGTCCGGTTTATATCGTTTCCTCCTTGAACAACACTCATAAGTTCAACAATGGCCAAATCTCGGGAAATTTTCTGAGACGCCGCGCCAAAAACTTTCTCAGGAAAAAAATGGCGAAATCTCCAGATCTCATGTTCAAAGCAAGGGATCTTCTTGCGACTCCAAGCCACGAGGGATTAACGATCGTCGTCGATCAGCTCTTTAAGCGTCAAGAAACCGACGAATACAAAACGGCGCGAGCTCTGTACGACTTCTGCGTCGCTAATCTCTCAAACTGCTTAACCCTAAAGCTTCTCAAGTTGTATCTACATTCTATAGATGACGTCGTCAGATTCCGATCGATCTTTCTCCTCTATAAAACTCTCACCGATTCAAGAAACGGCAGCATCGCAATCGCACTCTCTCTCGTCTCCTTCAAAGATATAAAGCCCCTTGTCATTTCTTGCCTGAAAATGCCAAACGCCAAGAAATCTGACGGAAAGATCCTCCGAAGAATCGTTTCTTTTGTAGCTTTCAGTGTTGTGAAGTTGGATAACAGAGGATGGGACGAGCTCGGCGATTGCATCCTCTTCCTCGCGAATACCGATCCTCTCAAGGCTTTCAGTGTCTTCCTCGATTTGCCGCTACTCGGTTTGAAATTCGTCAGACCGTTTCTGGAGAAACTTGTAGAGGAAGTCTACAAAGTGTTGCAAGATGACAGGGACGAAGAAGATTGGAGTTTGGCTTTGGAAACTGCTATTAAACTTGGGATTCAGATTGAAAGAAGATTCGATTTGACGAGGGAGATTCTTGGGAACGTTCTGAAATCAGCTGGTGAGCTTGTGAAGAAGGGTAAGGAACAGTTTCTGCAACGAGGGCTTGCACGTCTCGTCAAGTTCCTGGAAAAGGACTCGAAGATGTGTGAATACAGTAGCGAGCAATGCGGTTTCGTGTCAGAGTTTGCGTTCAAGATCGGAACATACACGGAGGAAGCTGCGAGGAATATCTATCAAATGGTTACAAAACTGGAGAATCATGTTCCCGATCCAGCCTTCAAACTCGAGCCATCTCTCGTTGAAAAGCAACGATCTGAACTTGAGCTGTACAAGAGTTTGGAGATGTTACCTCCAGTGGAAATCTTGAGTATGGTCGCGTTGACTCGGATGAGTGACGAGTCCAGAGAGGTAGCGATGAGACGAGTGCACGATTTTCTTTGTGACCACACTTCAGGGAAAGCGGTGATTGGTGTTTCAGAGATTAGGAAACTCAAGAAACTGCTCATTTCTTGCCTTGCAGAAGTAGGATTGCCAGAGAACACGTTCAAGATTCTTGGTCAGGTGGTGTTCCACGTTGCGCATGAGATGCTGAGCTTCCAAGAGGATACATGGTCCGATCTATGGGTCTATATCGGATCACAGTGCAAAACGCAGTTCGAGAACACGGTCTATATCTTCCAGTGTTTGACAATGATGCTTGAAGATAAAGAGTTTGTGATTCCTGCGATTGAGAATCTTCTCCCAGAGATAACCACGAGGTTAAACCCACCGAGAGAGTTGTTGGTAGATAACAGTTGCTGGGTCTTGGCGTTTGTGGGTGGTTTCTGTGCTGCAATTCACTTGTTAGAGTTCACTAGTTACGCTGGATCCGTTAAGGAGATTTCTGATCAGATGATAGGTTCGGTGGGAGAGCTAGTGGAAAGAGGAATGGAAGTTGGGCTTGTGAGGAGAGCTTTGAGGGATCTGGAAAGTGTTGTGAAGAAACAAGTGGAGTGGTATGATGCTAATGAATACAGATTCTGTAAGACTTTGCTTCGGCGTCTTTACACAATCAGAGGACTCGGAAGGGAAACTATGTTTGTGGTGTGGAGAACTAACAAGATTTTCGAGAGAGGAACGCCCAATGTGGATAAAGAGCTCTAGTGTCTTAGACAGCAAACCTCATTCTGTACCTAATTCTTATAAAAATTGTATTGTAGTTTCATTGATCATCTTCTTGCACAAGCAGGTGTCTGTGGCATTGTTGTACTTGTAAACCGTAGTTGTAGTGATCTCTATCTTGTAGCTTACTCCTAGCTGTATTAAGACGCACATATCTGACAGTATAAACTAACAAAGTACAAGAGTACAAGACCAAAGCCAAGATCAGGTTAAATTTTCCACAAGTATAAAGATCACAATTGATAACAAGTCGACTTTATTATTTTTCTTACACTGATAAAAGTTCTCAACGATTCAAGCACACTACCGCTTCCTTACAGCAACTGATGAAGTCTTGAACTTGGTTGCTGATGATGATGGGGTTTTAGACAATGCTGAAGCTTTGAATCCTCCTCTCAACAGACTCGACGCTGAAGCTGCGCTAATCTTCCTTCTCTTTGCTTCTAGCTCCAATCTTTTCTTGCTCGATGATGACATGGAGTAAGATGACTCGGGGAAGATGGAAGATGCATGGATCAGCGCTCGTTTATCCTTTCGGTTCTTTTCAAACTTGGACTTGAACTTGACGTTTGACGCAGCTGCAGTATCTTCTTCGCTCTTTGGAAGAAGTCTTATCCCCAAGCCTAGCTTCCTTGAAGTAGCCTCTTCTTCAGCTACACGTTTCCTGTGTCCCCTTATTTGTGCACGTAGAGCTTTGTTTAGGGAGTAGTCATCTGCGTGTCTTGCATCCGAGACTCGCTGGAGACGGACCAAAAGCGGTTCCGCTGCTTTCTTCTTCTGCAGATCAACTTCCTGGTGCTCTAGACGGTAAAACGGGTCTGCAAGCTTGCCCTTCTCTGCACAAGATTTATAAAATCATATCAAGAATCAGCAGGCGGAACAGATAAGGACGATTAATATTCAATCACCTATTAGAGATTCTAAAAGTAAAATTGTCAAAAGAAGGATAGAAACAAACCTTCCTCAGGAGCGAACTCCATGGTTTCGGCATCTTCTGCTTCATATTCCTCAACCTTCTTCTGGGCACCACTAGTAATTACGTACTCGCAGTTCTGAGGATCTGTCTGGATGACTATCTCATGTTTGCAGCATGGTGCTTTCATTGCAAAACTCCATATCTGACCATTAATAAGATATAAAACCTCAGCCATAGTTCTATAGCAAGCAAGCAAAAAGAGAATATACATGTATTTGTACAATCAAACTTCATCGTACCTTTGTAGAGTAATAGTTCCCAACTTGCTTCTTTTCTGCATTGAATCGAACACCCTTGGCGATCATAGAATTGCAACCACCACACCATATATTGTAGGGCATCTCGAACCTTATGATCAAAATTCCCTCGCCTATTTTTTTGGCCCTCTCTCTCAGAGGATGCTGTCCTTGAAACTTGTTCAAGGAGCCTTGATCTGGAGTCCATTCCGGGGGATAGTAAAAGTTATCTGCCCTGGCAGCTGCGAGAGTCGACTGCGAAAAGGAACAAAATCAAAGAATCAACACATGGAACTGAAACCAGTCAGTATCCACAATTAGGTAAACATAGAGAGAATTTCTATAACAAGCTAAAACCTGGAAATTTTTCAAATTGACAAAACCCAATAAAGCTAGCGAATCCAGGAGAACGCAGACCTCAATTACAAACCTTTCAACTATCGATGAAACATACACTAATCTATTGATACAATCACGAATTAGATTATTATTCCGAAGAACCCTAATGCAAACCAAAATCCCAGCACTCGATACCCTAAATCTCCAAATAAATCCAAACTACTTGCGATTAAAATACAAGACGGTATATCTTAGAGCTCCGGAGATCAATTCCAATCAACAAACACGATATCCCCAAATTAACACAACCCGAAAGGGGACAGAAGACGATTATTTGAAAAGGATCGATGGAGAAAACAACAAAACGTACCATCTTGTTCTACGGAGATTGATCGAACCGTTCTTCCTCCTGGTCTAAGATGTTCAATCGCAAATCTTATGGCTCTTTGGCCTCTATTTGGTTGGGTTGGGAATTGAGTTTCGAGGAGTTGTATAGATTCCTCTCTTTCACTCGTCAGAACGCTGCCGTTTTGTTGGTGCTTCCTCACGCGGAGAGTTTATTCCAGGTCGGTTCATGATAAGCTTAATTTGGTTGACCTGATCCAATCCAACTCAAACCATACTGCAAAATCAATTTGGATATCGGACTGATATTTCTTTTTTCTTATATGCATTAAATCATAGAGATAAAAACTATGTTACCCTTGGTTTCTTTGATTAATGAAAGTGTAAAAAAAAACTCAAAGAGATTAGTTGTGATTTGTAAATGTTAACAGCTTTCAAGAAAAGATTATCTGATGAATTTTATGTGGTTGTTACAAATTTCAAAACCCTTTGATATTGGTTAATAAATTCTCACATTGTTGTTTGATGATTTTTAAAATTCATAAAAATCCATTGTTATTCAAAACAGTTTGAATTTGAATAATTTTGTGATTTCATTAAAATATTTGTTATTGAAAGATGACTTTTTTAAAAAACATATTATAACTCATGTAACAAAATTAAAAAATACTATGTATATTTAAAAAAAAAAAGTTTCTAAATATACAAACTCTTATCTATCAACCAATTTAACAAATTTCTCGATTTTAAAAATTAACAAACTATATAAATTCATATCCCAAAAACATCTCCTCAATTTTTTAGTCTTATAAATAAAGAAGATGCTACCGTCATGTATCAATTTTCTATATACAAATGATTTTTGTTTATCCCTTTCTTTTCGCACGTAGACAACCATAAAAAAAAAGGGTTAATATCCTATTTGGACGATGATGGTCTTCCATCTCAGCGACTCACGATCTTCCATCGGCCGCTTCCTTCCTGCTCGTAGCTGGTCCCTCTCATGTAGACAGTTTTTGCAATTCATGTTTAGAGATATTAGATGATTTATCCATAATCTATAGATACAATACTTTTAACTCTTGAATTTAGTACCGCTATATCTCTTCTTCCGCTTTAACCATCTCTGCAGCAAATTCTTCGACTTTCCCAGACTAATCATTGCTATGGTGATATCTACCAAAAGAAAACCGGATGGCGTATGTATGAATATGAGAGAGTGCTCGAAACTCCTATTTTTCAATATGTTGTTGTATGTCATATTTTCTACTCACTCCAACACGATCAGACCGATGATTGGGTCTCCGATGAGTTCGCTTGAGGAGGAAGGTGTTGATCATATGCCATGGCAAGGTCATGTTTTCTCTGGATCTTCATATAGGCGTTTCATATAGGCGTATATCGGGCTGCTTATATCATTATATGGTAATATGTGCTTTAATTTTGTACTAGGTATGGGCACGTCGCCTAAAGGTGTTCTCACTAAGAACCCGGTATTTCATGATAGAAGTAAACACATCCACAGACGCTACCACTTCATCCGAGAATGTGTATAAAATGGGCAAATAGAGGTTGAGCATGTATCCGGAAGTGAACAAAAGGCGGATATTCTCACAAAGGCACTAAGGAGAATTAAGTTAAAGGAAATGAGAGAGCTTATTGGTGTGCAAGGATTAGAGAAAATAGAATTCAAGCTTAAGGGAGAGAATGTTAGAGTAAGCTTGAAGAAAGCTTAAGACACAAGGAATCCTAGACTCCTAGTCCTATCAAGATATGGAGTCCTAGAGAAATTAGGATTAGAGAGAATGAGTTCCTATAGGATTAGAAGTTATCAATGGCTATATAAGGAGATGTCAATGTGTAACATTACTTATGAGTTTAGAGTTAAAAGTTTGAGAGCTTAAGTTTTGAGAGATTTTCTTAAACTAATAATAAAAAGAGTAATTCTTTAATCTTTAGTTTCATATCACCTTCTAAATTCTATAGAATGGAGCCTCTTCAGAGCTAGGGTTTTGATGGCTCTGGTGCGAACACCCAAGGACGTTGGCTCGGTGACGCTGATACATTACTTGTCTTCGTCATGATCCGTTTGTACCTTATTACAAATCATAGAAAAATTAGTTTAATAAAAAAATAACAAATATTCAATGATAAACATATAATTCAATCGAATGATGGAATTCAAACGCAAATAAAAGATATTTATTTGGTGTTTAATATCTATTAGATCGAAAACTTACGTATCTTCATGCCGTTAAGCTTGTGGTGACTATATCTTTAGTTGGATTCAAAGCAAAGAATAGGAATACGTAGTTTCATATGAAATAAACAAAAGTAGAGTGGATATTTGTAACACCATTTCAACTTTTGTCTTTCCCTACTTTAATCATCCATGTTAAATGTTTCAGTGTTACAAGATATTCTGGTTAATAAACTGGGTTATCTTTTTTGATTCATTTCACTTGGTCTGGTTTAGTTATTGCATTGGTTTAATTGGTTTCACTCACGAACAATTTATGTAAGATATCTTTAACCATTTAGAAAATCAATCATAAAAACAATTTCTCTCTATCGATCATCATATTTTATCATTGAATTTTAAATCATCCTTATTGGAACTAAAATCCCGGTCTGAATTCCAAATTGATTTTGCAGTATGGCTTGAGTTGGAATGGATCGGTTCAACAGAATTAAATCGGTCTAATTAGTTGCCAAGTAGTTGGAAAATGTGAAGGGCATTTTTCTGTTAAATCGCTTCACTCGAACGCAAACGTGAATCGTGTGTCGCTGTGTCAGCTCCGAGTCTCCGACCACTCCTTTATTCACAAGCGACTCAAAATCTCCAGAGAGAGAGAGAGAGAGAGAGAGCTCTGAAACAAGAAGTAAAAATGGTGTATTTGCTCGCTTCTTCTCTTACCTACTCAAGCTCTGATCTGAATCTCCTCCCTCTTGTGCGGAAGGAAGCTGCTTCAGTCTCCAGGAAACGTCGAACAGCTTCAGTTGTGGCAACATCCTCGAGAGAAGATAACAAAACCGCCGGTGAATCTTCTCAGAAACCCACGAAATTCGTCACATTCCTCGGAAAAGGCGGCTCCGGCAAGACCACCGCCGCCATTTTTGCCGCCCAGGTATAATAAAAGAAAATTACAATTCTTCTAAACCTCTTTCTCGTTGCATTTCATCAAATTCGATTGGAGTTGTAGAAGCAATTGCATTACGAATCTATAAATGTCAGAATCGAGCCTTGTACTGAATCTGTTGAACTTGAATTTTCAAAGCTCAAAGCTTTTTTCTCATCTCTGCTTAATTAGAGAGACTGAATGTTTGGTGTTGTTACTGAATGGCTATGCACTTGCAGCATTACGCATTGGCTGGGCTCAGTACATGCTTAGTGGTACATAATCAAGACCCTTCTGCTGATTTCCTCCTCGGAAGCAAGATTGGGACTTCTCCTACCTTAATCAATGACAACCTCTCAGTGATTAGGCTGGAAACAACAAAAGTGTGTGCCTCTCTCTCTTTGTTTCGATCTTGGCTTACTCAATTCTCTGGTTTGAAGTTTGAACATTACTTAACAATGGAACAAAACGTTGGCAGATGCTTCTAGAACCTCTTAAGCAGGTGAAGCAAGCAGACGCCCGACTTAATATGACCCAAGGTGTTCTTGAAGGGGTAGGTATGTCAACACAACTTCTTCATATCTGTGAGTTTCGAACAGAAAAACAAAAAAGAAAAAGGGACTTTCTTTAAGTTTGTCATTTTGTTTTTTCTTGGCTATTGTTGTGTAGTATAGGTGGTTGGAGAAGAGCTAGGAGTGCTTCCAGGGATGGACTCCATTTTCACAATGCTTGAGCTTGAAAGGCTTGTTGGTTTCTTTAGGCAAGCAACGCGAAAGAACCACAAGGGCAAGCCTTTCGACGTTGTGATATACGATGGCGTTAGCACCGAGGAGACCCTTCGGATGATAGGTCTTAGCAGTAAAACAAGGTCTCCTTATCTTTAGCTTTTTGATTTGTTTCTGATTTCTCTGTGTTTCTTTCTCTTCTTGCAACCCTTACGAGTATATTCTTTTCTTGCAGATTGTATGTGAAGTATCTGAGGAGTATGGCCGAGAAGACTGATCTTGGGAGGCTAACAAGTCCTTCCATTATGAGATTTATCGATGAGTCCATGAACATAAGCGGCAATAAGTCGCCTTTCGATGGTATGCCAAGTTCTGCCATGTGGGATGCTTTGGAACGTTTCTTGGAGGTATCTGTTTACTTAATTACGCCTGTACTCAGTTTCTTCAATTCATCTAGCTCACAAACTATACATGGATGAATATTTGCAAATTTGCAGACTGGCGCTTCTGCTCTGAGAGATACAGACAGATTCAGGAGTTTTCTTGTAATGGATCCAAACAATCCAATGTCTGTTAAATCCGCGTTACGGTATTGGGGTTGTACAATACAAGCAGGATCTCATGCTTCTGCAGCATTTGCCATTTCTTCGAATCTGACAACTGCATTGAACAATATCCCCAAAGACGATTTTGTGCCGCTGCCTTTTGCTTCTGCATCGGTTCCGTTTACTAGAAATGGTCTGGATTGGGACAAGATTCTGCTGGACCAAGCAAACTCGAGTGTCCGGGAACTTCTCTCTGGAAAACTAAGCCAAGGAAGCAGCTTGACACCACCAGTAACGTTTGATACAGTGAAGAAATCAGTGACTCTATTCATGCCAGGGTTTGATAAATCCGAAATCAAACTGTACCAGGTAAAACAACTTCTCTCATCTCTATTCACATTCTCTTTTGTTCTTTATTGTCAAGCTATCTGATTTCTTCTACCTTATCTATAATGGCATATAATGTTGTGATTGCCTGAAAGATCTTTTGTTCATATTGAATTAAGTTAAGAATTGCGTTTTCTTGATGAATCTGCAGTACAGAGGAGGCTCAGAGCTCTTGATAGAAGCTGGGGATCAAAGACGAGTGATTCATTTACCGTCTCAGATTCAAGGAAAAGTTGGAGGAGCCAAGTTTGTGGACAGAAGTCTTATCATCACAATGCGTTAATACATTTTTTTGCAGAACTAATATGTAATGTTACACCAAAGATGTGTAGTTTGTCCCCAAAATTAAAAAAAAAGAAGTCAAGAAGTCAAACATTTGGGACGATCTTGAGATGAATAAACAAGTTTCTCATCACTTAAACGGCTCTGATACTTTGGCAAAACCGCAGCGGTTACAACAATGCCACCGAGCAAAGCCAAGCAGAGCCCTAAACCGTTAAAGATCAGTGATTCAGGACAGCGTTTCGGGACGTTCCTCTTGGTCTGAAGAAAAGTGAGCCTCTCAAGCAGTCCGGTCTCAGCTGTGGCAATGGCTAGACCGTAGGTATAGAGTCCTAGGAAGACGTGCCATGGAAGAAACTTTGTTCTTGTTGTCCGTACTTCTCCTCTATGCCAGAAACTCAAGAACCCAGCCACCCACTGCAACACAAGTCACAACGTCAATACTAATGGTTAAGCACTCGTGTCTCTGAAGTGAGAGTAATAATTAAATCTTTCAGGGGAATCTTGTCAGTTTGCGTAACAGTTAGTAAACTAATCCCAAGTGGGCTACTAAATTTCTGCCTTTGTCACTTCTTTGCATTATTGATAAAATGATAGCAACCATTTTTCAAACAAAAAAAAGACAGTAATGACAGCAACGTGTCATCCGTCTTTTTGAGCTATAAGTTTTGTTTAAGAAAGAAAGCATCTATGATGAATTTGATAATGAATATTATACTGAAATAAAAAGAAAATTGGTGAGGAAAGACTAAGAGGGACCTGGGCAGAGAAGAGAGACACAGAGAGTAAACCGATCCAAGAATGGAGACTGTAGAAATTGGAGAAGAAGCCCAATTGAGAATGGAACTTTGTCCAAATCCCAAACAAAGCAGAGACCAATGCCACTCCTTGTAGCCATAGATGGACTGCTTTCTTCGTTTTCCTCGAACCAGGCAACCATCTGTGTATCAGAATCGCTGCACCCCAAATTCAGATCAGATGAGTAAATTTAGCCAAATCTATATTCACGAAAAAGAGAGGAGGGATCATTTACCTTCTCCACTTACAAAAATGAAGCCAATCACCATCAGAAGAGCATGAAGAGTCTACAACAATTATAGAAATTTGATTAGAAACCAGAGAGAGTGAGAGAGAGATCCAGATGAAAAGAAAAAGGAAGGGGGAGTGAGAAATTACGGAGTTGGTGAGGCCTTGACGAGGGACGAAGTTGGACTTAAGCAAAAGAGCCCAGTACAGAACCAGAAGTGCGATTACTAAACCTGAGAGCCTCGCAAGCAGGACAAGTGACACACTTGCCATTCTTCAGATTTGAGTACAGTCTCTCCTCTCTCTCTCAGAGTTGTCGACAAAGTGATGATGTTTTTTTCAGTTATAAAAGACATTACGGATCTAAATGTGTTATATGGACCGACCTCTCTATATCTCCTTGTACGGCCCAATGATTTAAGGTCAACAGCAAGATTTTTTTTCATAAGAATTCATTAACGCCTGAATGGCAGACCATTTTTTCTAACAAATGTAAACAGAAGACATTTACATATTTTGGTCACGAAATAAGCTCAAACCAGGGAGAGACATCCAATTGATTACAAGTGAAACAAGGTAAATGAAATTCATCATTGTTGCTGCATCTGCATACACCAAAAGAACAGACGCATCTCAAATAAAATAAAAAGTAGATTCATCACAGTTGCTGCATCCCCAAATATAAAAACGATATAGTATAAGACAGCAAGTAAATCCATCATAGCTGCTGCCTAAGAGCAAAGAAGACACAAGCTCAAGACTTGTGTGACGCAAATTCATCAAAGAGTGGCAGCGACGACCTTGACAATGTCATCGTGATAGGATTTGAGCACACTGTCAAACCACTCAACTTTGCCCCAAATTTGACAAGGTTGGCACCTTTCAAGCGCAATCTCCGCACACCAAACAATGGTAGCATTAGGGTCATAAAAAGCGATTTTTCCCCAAAAAACAGCCATCTTTCCACCATAATCAGCCAATCTAACACCGCTGTCAATCCTTTCACCATGAGGTAACTCAGGTAGTCCCACCAAACCCATCACCTCTCTCCACATGCTTTCCTCAGTGTCATACCATCTGATGACTCCATAAGCAGCAGAATACAAAACATTGTCTATCTCGCAATAAGAATTTGAGACCATATAATGATTCATCCCCGGATAAAGCACCTCGTCCCATCTACCTTCCTCGGAATCGTAAGCAAGCACGCTGTCGAGAAGCACCCCATGGAACTTCCCGTCAATACATAGGGTTTTGTTGTTCAGTTTCCCATTTTCCACGCTGGAAGGGCCGGGCACAGGAACCGTCGTCTTCTTTGCACACTCCCGCCACGTAGATCTTTCCATCAACGGCGCTTGCAGAAAAATACGTTCGCTTCACTCGAAACATTGAAGAAGTCTCGCGCCACGTGTGAGATCGGCAATCCAGAATCGAGACGCTAACGGGTCCAGTGGATGTGTCAGCTCTGTACTTGCCGTATGGGTTGATGTTGTAGATATTAGAGCCAACGGCCACGATAGACTGAAAGATGGCAAAACCAGAAGTTGGGATCGAGGCTGTAGCCAAAACGTACCCACATGACTTCTTCTCACTGCTGTCTTTGGTTAGCGTTTTGTCAGGTTTCCGGGATAGAGTGAACCAGCGGTATTTAGAACCGCACCATAGGCAAACGTAGAGACAACTCTCGGTGCGGCCCAGGAGTGACCGGACCTTGTATAGCTCCGGTGAAGCAATGAGAGATCGAAAGCTCTTGGAGACCAGGGATAGTGTTGGATAGTACAACCTTGAGACACGTGCGATGCAGTTCAACAGCAAATCATCGGGAAGCGACAGAATCGGTGTCGATTGCGGCGGCGTCTGCGTCAGCTTCCTCTGAGGCCTCTCAGACATAATCAGAATCGGTGTCGATTGCGGCTGCGTCGGCCTCAGCTTCTTCGTCCTCGTGACAGTGGTCTTCTTCCTCTTCTTTGGCGGCGGAGACATTGAGAGATTCAGGAACAAGCTTTGGATTCCTTGATACTGAAAAACAGAGTACAAGGAGGAATTTAGGGATTCGGACACTAAATCACTGAATAGGCAGTTAACAAATACGGGTTTGAGTTTTGGAGCAATCCAAAATGTGTCGGTCTGAAAGTGAACAGGAACAGAGAGATGAATCGGCAAATACAGATTCAAGTTCGACATAATAATAAAATCGAAGCAAAATCCAGTCAGACATCAAATTCAGAATGTGATTACGAAACCTAAACCTTGGAAAAAAAAGCCGCCGGACGAGGAAAAAACTCACCAGATGAGAGTGGAGAATCAAGTTCCTGGTTGGGGATGATTCACCATTGATTGATTTCCTTTCTTCTCTCGTGTTCGCGAAGTGGCCAAAAGGATGAACAAAATACCTATTTAAGCGTTCCCCGATTCCACGAGTCCACTTAAGCTTTTGATCTTGTTGGACGGTAACGATGAGGAACACGTGGCCAAAATCCAGGATCACATAATGATTTATCAGGCCGGGGAGAGTTTGAATTCGGGTTGGTTTACTAAAATGTTCGCGTTTTTGGTAAATTTGGTTCGGAAGAAATCCGGTTTTTTGGCTTATTCGGGTACAATCCAAAATAGACCGGATTGCTCCAAGTTCTGTTTCATTGCTAAACTAAATTAGTCTTTTAAAAATAAATCTTAATCAAATCAATGGAGAGAAAGAATTACGTTGTTGGCTCGTTTCTATCCATATGGTGGAGAAGAACATCATCGTCCTTGGGAAACACGAACCTTGTCACTGGTGAGAGCTTAGTGAAAATGTATCGTGGACTTGCTGCATCTTTCCCAACCTATATGTGCAATTTAAAGAGAACTTAGATGAAAAAGAGATCAATATATCTTGTCAACTACTTACCGAAGTTCTAGTTCCAAATTGTCCAATTGGTAACAGAAAGTTGACATTATTCAATCATATTTATTCTTGAGCCATTTTGATGATCCGAGCGGCAAGACTTTTTTTTCTTTCACAATGATAGTAACATGACTTCTCCAAGACAAAAGCAAGTAAATCCAAGACTTGTATTCATGAAACTTTCTCTGCAGTAAACAAAAACAATGTCTTTCTCTAGCTTGGTTTGACGCCATCAAGCAAGCATGGAATGGACCTTACATTATGAGTTAATGAGTACAAGGTAAACTCTTGTTTACAAAGTCACATTAACAAATTTTTCTCCAGTTTTTTTTTAGTAAGGAATGTGTCACGCTGACTGGAAAAAGTTTGTTGAAATCAGTACATGAAGATTATCAAAGAGCATTTTAAGGTTAACAATTATATATATCGTGCCTACCTCAAAGTTGTTAACCCATGTTCTTCGTTCTTCTTTCTTATCTTTATTAAATGCAAGATTAATAACTTGTTCATCTTTGCCGTCATCCTTCCAAAGGAATTACCATTTAAAAAGACTTAAGATTTCGGAAATAACATTTGTATTCCTCATCAGTACTTGTACCCAACCCCTTGTAATGTTTAAAGTTTCATTCAGATCCGTGAATCCTTTTTCAGTCATTGAACTCAACCATTGAGAAAAAATATTTTTCACTTTCATCATTATAGGTACCCTAAAATGTTCAAGAAGTTCTTTTTAACTTGTATATACTATATACTAAGAATTAAAAACATCAAATCATATTTACTTTTACAATTGGTGTTACTAACTGAGATATAAATGATAGATTTGTCCTCTTCAGTAACTCGGGCCATAAGAATGCAAAAAATTAATTATGAGCCCCTTAATATGAGACAAGTTGTTGTTGTTAGAGAATAATTACATATGTAAGGCATTCTCTTAGACATAAAGACATAATGAGATAATTCGAAAATTTTGGTTTGAGTCCATTTTTGTCTCAACAACATAAACTTATCAGATTATAATTATCTAACTATATAATATTTTTCTTAAAATTTCGTAAGGTATAGAAAAATAGAAGGCTAAGAGATGTTGTTGTCCAAAAACTGCACAACCACATCATTAGAGATTGGATTGTTGGGTTTCTTGATTTTAGTTAAATTGTTAGACAAAAAGAGAATAATTATATTAGCATAATGTATGATTTATGTCCATCATGATTGATTGATGAGATCAAAAACTTCTAGAATTTGGTAAATTAGATTTAATGCTTTAGCGTTTGCAAAGATGTCTACAACATTTTGAAATAGATGTTCACTAATTTAAACATGATCACATCCAAGGGAAAAAAAGTCAATTGCTTAGCTTTACAATTTTTTCTTTTCTAATATATGTTGATGCATGCAACATATCAATGGAAACAACTGCAAATTATATAGAAGCACATTTATTGTTGTTCCTAATTAAATAAAATTTCTCCAATTTTTTGATATTTTGTATTGAATTTAAACTTGAATTTGGTTGAAGCTTAATTTTGGGTTCATAAACAAATTATCATTTATTGGACTAAATCTAAAATTAGGTCCATCATATAGAATCTCTCTAGAAACATCCTTGAGTATTTTCGAGAATTCTATTAGATTAATATGTAATTATTCTACATCTTTGTTAGATTAAATCTAGATATTATGATAGAGAACTCTAAAGATTAGGTTAAAGTTTGTAGGATATTTTATATTAAAAAAAATCTAGAGATGTAATAAAAGATGTCTACAGAAGAAGTGTCTAAATCCTTGTAAAATATTTTGTAGGCCTATAAATATAAAAAAAAAGAGTGTTCTAAAAATTAATTCTCTTGTTTTATTTTTGAAATCTTTCAAGTATTGATATTGGGATTTGGAATGATTTAAGGTGATTTTTATAAAAAATGATAAATTCAGTGTTATTCAAACTTGAATTCTAAAAACCCTTTTAAAATATTGAACTTGTGATTTTAAAATCCACTTTTAAATCCAGTGTTATTGAAAATATTATTAAAACTGGATTTTAAAAGACAGATTTAATTTTAAAGTGATTTCGTGAGATTTTCCTTGTTAAAAATAAGAGATTTGAAAACATGGTTTTAGATGGGATTTTAAAATGATTTAACTAAAATCACTTAAAATTCCATAATTCACACAAAATAATCTAAAAACTCCCTAAAAATCAAATCACCCAAAATCATTCTAAATCCCTAGTTCAATACACCCATGTAAGTGTTCTTTCATATTCTTCTACATATTTGAAGTGTTTATTATTTCTTTCGGGTTCAGGTATTGCGGTTTTGGGCTAGTGCTAAATACTATGGGTGTTGGTTTCTTTACATTTTGTTCTAGGAAATATTTTGGTGAAATAAACACAATAAACTATTTCACTGGGATGTATGCGTTTATCACAGAAGCTCACCTGACTAGTGTTGTAGAAACTAGAAAGAGATTTAAGAGATTAATATTATTTGAGACACATGACAGCAAATGATATAATTTTGGAATTGTCGTCAGTTTCATAGAGCTCATTATTAATAGACTCATCAGTGGAAAACGATGATTAAGAAGACCCGCAATCGAGTGTGAACACAACCTCTAATTTAATAAAATTTATACACATTACGACCTCTCTATTCCCACCAATCTTATGCTTTTCCACCAAAATTGCAACCTTTCCACACCAACATGCATCAAAAAATGAGTATGAGTAATGTTGTTGATCTCACATTTGTTTATTATGAAAGAGATAGTTGATCTCTCTATAGCAGCCGAGTGATTTATGGCTAGTATTGTCAATTGTGTGCTCAAAGTCAAAATGCTGACTTTTATGTACAAAGCCAAAGTTGCAGCAAGAATCTATATATAAAGAAAGAGAGGCATTTCATTAAATTTTTGTTTTTGGTTTTAATGTTAAGATTTTATACCAAAAGAGTTGCTACAAGGAACTTAATTTACAGAGCTACTTACCTACTTACCTATTACACTTACCCAAAGTGGAACTGAGCAAAAGATTATCAAATCGGATAAGAAATACAACCAAAATAGAGTTCTAGGAGAGAAGGAGAGCCATTCACGGAGGGGAAAGATAGGAGGCGATCCCTGACCGTGCGATCGACCATGCCCTTTAACACGCTTAAAGGGGTGGTTTTTGATGTGAAGATTCTCGCATTACGCTCTCGCCAAAGAGTGTAGACAATGATTTGAAGTAGCAGCTTCATGATCGTTGAGGTATGAGCTGAGGAGGAGATAGGCGGAGCAGCTAGGGCGTCAATAATCAAGGCCATGCTAGATGGTAAACTCTGTCCAACTACTTGAGAGGCGAAGAATTGCCACAACGAGTCTGCAAAGGGACAGGAGAAGAAGAGGTGATCGTGCGTCTCTTGGTGTGAGGAGCAGAGGATGCAATCAGGTGGGACTGTAATTCCCCAGCTTAGAAGACGGTCCTTTGTAGGCAGCCGCTTGAGATTCACCAGCCAAAGAATGAATGAGGCTCTCGGTATTTCCTGCTTGAACCAAGAGACTTGGGGTGAAGTTACACGCAGCTGGTCCCAAGTCCCGCTTGAGGACAAGGTTCTTGAGTAGTCTCCCTGATGGTTTCCTCCACATGAATACATCTTGACCCGCTTCTTGTGAAGGAAGAGGCATCGTAGTCAAGAGGATTTGGAGCGTTTGCACAGAGTCAGACCTTGCGTTAGGGAGATTCCAGTCTGTTCCTCGAATGGCATCACAGACACGAGCATCAAGAGGTAGGCGGAGCATTCTGGGACCCGTTGGTCCGATGAAGTCAATGAGCGGCCCCAGAGTAGTCCAAGAATCCCACCAGAAGTCTACAAAAGTTCAATAGCACACTGAATTGAATACTGAAACAAAGACGATATTAATAAGTCTTAAAAGCAGAGACGCGGTTTGTTTCAGTATTCAATTGACACACTTGCCATTCTTCAGATTTGAGCACCAGTCTCTCTCTCTCTCTCTCTCAGAGTTGCGGACAAAGTGACGATGCTTTTCAGTTATAAAAGCCATTACGGATCTATAATGTGTTATAATGGACCTCTCTATCTCCTTATACGGCCCAATGATTTGATATAAAGGTTACTTGCTAGTATTGGTTGCTCTCTAAGTCAATATGTTGACTTTTTAAGTCCTGGGTCAAAGTTTCTGCTAGCTAAAGCAGCAAGAAGGAAGCTATCAAGAATTTTTTTCTATACATATACATATTTTGGTCACAAAATAAGCTTAAACCAGGGAGACATTCAACTGATTACAAGTGAAACAAGGTAAATTAAGCAAGTAGATTCATCACAGTTGCTGCATACACCAAAAGAAGAGACGCATCCCAAATATAAAAAACGATATAGTATAAGACAGCAAGTAAATCCATCATAGCTGCTGCCTAGAGCAAAGAAGACACAGGATCAAGACTTGTGTGACGCAAATTTATCAGAGAGTGGCAGCCACAGCCTTGACAATGTCAACGTGATAGGATTTGAGCACACGATCAAACCACTCAACTTTGCCCCAAATTTGACAAGGTTGGCACCTTTCAAGCGCAATCTCCGCACACCAAACAATCGTAGCATACGAGTTGTCATAACGAGAGATCTTTCCCACAAAACCGCCATCTTTCCACCATAATCAGCCAATCTAACATCTCTCTGAATCCTTTCACCATCGGGTAACTTAGGTAGTCCCACCAAACCCATCACCTCTCTCCACTTTCTTCCCTCAGTGTCATACCATCGGATGGCTCCATGAACAGCAGAATACAAAACACTGTCTATCTCACAATAAGAATCTGAAACCATATAATGACTCATCCCCGGACGGAGTACCTTGTCCCATCTACCTTGTTTCGAATCGTAAGCAAGCACAACTTCTCTTGCGAAACACCCTTTTGATGAGAAGCACCCTTCTGTCGCGAAGCACCACATGGAACTTTCCGTCAATACATAGGTTTTTATTCTCTACTTTCATAAATTGTTGCTGGCCGAAAGGGATGGGCACAGGATCGCAAGTCTGTGTTCTTGTGTCAAACACCTCGACCGAGTTCTTATAGGAACCGTCATCTTCTTTGCACACTCCCGCCACGTAGATCTTTCCATCAAGGGCGCTTGCAGAAAAAAACTTTCGCTTCACTTGAAAGATTGAAGAAGTCGTTCGCCACGTGTGAGACCGGCAATCCAGAATCGAGACGCTAACGGATCCAGTGGATGTGTCAATGTTGTAGATATTAGAGCCAACGGCCACGATAGACCCAAACGTGGCATAAGTAGAATGTGGGATTGAGGCTGCAGCCAAAACGTATCCACTTGACTTCTTCTCACTCGTGTCCTCTTCATTAGTTAGGGATTTATCAGGTTTCCAGCATAGGGTGAACCAGCTATGTTTAGAACCGCGCTTTAAGCAAACGCAGAGACAACTCTCGGTGCGGCCCAAGAGTGACCGGACCTTGTATAGCTCCGGTGAAGCAACGAGAGATCGAAAGCTCTTGGAGACCAGGGAGAGTGTCGGATAGTACAACCTTGACACGCGTGCGATGCAGTTCAACAGCAAATCATCGGGAAGCGACAGAATCAGTGTCGATTGCGGCGGCGTCGGCCTCAGCTTATTCGTCTTCGTAACAGTGGTCTTCTTCCTCTTCGTTGGCGGCGGAGACATTGAGAGATTCAGGAACAACCTCTGGATTCCTTGATACTGAAAATCAGAGTACAAGGAAGAATTTTCGGACTCTAAATCACTGACTAGGCAGTTGACAAATACGTGTTCGAGTTCTAGACCAATTCAAGATGTGTCGGTCTGAATGTGAAGAAGAACAGAGAGATGAATCGGAAAATACAGACATCAAATTCAGAATGTTATTACGAAACCCTAAACCTTAGAAAAAAAAAAGCAGCCGGACGAGAAAAAAACTCACCAGATGAGAGTGGAGAATCAATTTCCTGGTTGGGGATGATTCACCATTGATTGATCTCACTTCCTTCCCTCAATCGTGCTCGCCAAGTCGCTATGCGGCCAAAAGGAAGAACAGAAACCTATTTAAGCGTTCCCACAGATCTTGTTGGACGGTAACGATGAGGAACACGTGGCCAAAATCCAGGGGATCACAGAGTTTGAATTCGGGTTGGTTTACTAAAATGTTGGTTCGGGGGAAATCCGGTTTTTTGGCTTATTCGGGTACAATCCAAAATAGACCGGATTGCTCCAAGTTCTGTTTCATTGCTCTCTCTTCTCAGCAGCTAGATATTTTGGCAATAGTCTCAAGCGTGTAGGCCACGTCTTAACCAAACAATCAACTGATTCAAAACCAAAAACCAGCTCTATATCATTAAGAGGATTTTTTAGAGATTTCTAAAATGCAGAGTTTGCAGACTTCCTCAAGCGGAAGGTAAAACAGACTTGGCTTTGTGGTAAAAGTAAAACCAAAGCAACAGCATTTGATTCTGCGTCCAAATACCTCGCTCTCCACAGTGCTAGAGTGAATGGAAGAAAGACGTTTTGAACAATCCATAGAGTATAAACACATAATGACTAATGATGGTGATGATTAGCGTGAGAGAGAAGTAAAAGGGGTAACATAAGCTGAGATTCAGAGTAGCCCTGTGGAATTGGAGGAAATTATTGGCTCTTGTTTAGATTGCTCAAGATGCATCATACCCAACTCAGCTACAAAGAGAACCATCCATCTTCTCCATCTTCAAAGTATTCGGACGTGGATCCTTAGGTTACCAGCTTGCAAACTTGAAATCACTCACTTATTTCCTCTTTTCAATACATCTCCGTAGTCTCTACCTCTTGATCAGTTTTAGTAACAGCATGTATTAATTTTCCTCCTCAATTCCAAACAAGAAAATAAAAAAAAAAACAGAATGGATATTTTAATGTCATATGCAGATTGTAATTGTGATTGCTACAATGATTCTTTAAGGCAATAGCATTTACCAAATAATTTCAAAATGCTCCAGCAATAAGTATAGAATGGATATTGTTTGGTTCAATACACAATCACTAAATTGCTCATAAAATTTCGAAACATCAAGTCTTTACTTTCTCTTTTTCTTATCCAGCTAAGCAACTCTCCATCCACTTAGCTTGATCATGCTTTGTTGGTATCAGACACACCATCTTCCATCTCACTTTCTCCCGGACGAGCTTCCTCTTTGTCGGGTGACTTGTCAAGCGACTCACGAACTTCTGTCGGCCGCTTCCATTTAGTGTCGTTTTCCTCTATTTTGTGGATAAAAAAAAAAGAATCACATCAGTGGAGAAGCAAAGAACTATGAGCATAAATGTATATTACAAAGGCGCCACAATCATAACTCGATAAAAGGCTTCTTCCCATCCTTTATCTTCAAGCCATGTAGGAAACTCTTATAGCCAAGCGTATGACCAATGGGCAGCTCAGTGATGTTTATTAATGCTTCCTCATCAGAGTTGGGGAAGCTACGTCATCTCTGTCCAAAAACTGCACAAGCACACCATTAGAGATTGGATTGTTAGGTTTCTTGATTTTAGTTCAATTGTTAGACAAAAAGAAGAATGGTGATGATATTACCATAATGTGTGATCCATGTTCATCAACTGATTGATTGATGAGATCACAAACTTCAAGAACTTGGTAGATTAGATTTAATGCATAAGCGTTTGCAAAGATGTCAACAACAATATGAAATGGATGTTCAATTTATTTTAAACGAAATCACATCCAAGGGAAAATAGGTCAATTGCTTAGCTTTACAACTTTTTATTTTCAAATTTATGTTGGTGCATGCAACATCTGATCAATGGAAACTGCAAATTATATAGAAGCACACTTATTGTTTCTAAATAATATTTATCCAATTTTTTGATATTTTGTATTGAAGGTAAACTTGAATATGGTCAAAGCTTAATTTTGGGTTCATAAACAAATTATTATTTATTTGACTAAACCCAAAATTAAGCCAATCATCTATAATCTCTCTATAAACATCATAAGAGTTTTGTTACCTACTTTAAGTATTTTAGAGAATTCTATCAGATTAATATATATAAATATGATGTAGAAAGTTCTACATATTTGTAAGATAAAAGTCTAGATATTAGGATAAAGAGCTCTAGTGATGATTAGGATAAAGTTTGAAATCAGAAAAATCTAAAGATGTAATAAAAGATATAGGAAGTAATTAAGGAGGTGTTTATAGAAGAAGTGTTAGATCCTTGTAAGATTTTTTCTAGGCTATAAATACATCCTGCTCTGATTTGTTATATGTACAAGAAGTTGAACAAGTTAATAAAGAGTGTTCTAAAAATAAGTTATCGTGTTCTCTCTTGAAATCTTTCAAGTATTCTCTTAGTGTTCTTTCATATTCTTTTTCATATTTAGCGTATGTATTGTTTCTTTCGAGTTTCTCGGATATTACCGTTTTGAGCTATTGCTAAATACTATTGGTGTTGGTTTCTTTACGTTTTGTTATAGTTAATATTTTGGTGAAATAAACACAAGGAACTATTTCACTGGGATGGTCTATCACACAAGCTCACCTAGACTTTGTAGAAACAGATTTAAGAGATTAATATTATTTGAGACACATGACAGCAAATAATATAATTTTGGAAATATCGTCAGTTTCATAGAACTCATTGTTAATAGACTCATCAATGGAAAACGATGATTAAGAAGACCCGCAAACGAGTGTTAACACAACCTCTAATTTAATAAAATTCATACACAATACGACCTCTCCATTCCCATCAATCTTTTGCTTTTTCACCAAAAATTCAACCTTTCCACACCAACATGCATAAAAAATGAAAGGGGATTGAGTTTGAGTAATGTTGTTGATCTCACATTCAATGTTTAGACGACTGTATTATGAAAGAGATAGTTGATCTCTCTAATCTCTGTAGTAGCCGAGTGATTTATGGCTGCTAGCCTGCTAGTACTGTGTGCTCAAAGTCAAAATGCTGACTATTATGTACAAAGTCAAAGTTGCTGCTAGCTAAACAGCAAGAATCTATAAAGATTTAAAAAAGAAAGAAAGGCATTTCATTAAATTTCAAACAAATTCTACAGAAGTTCAACACTGGAATACTGAAACAAAGACGAATATTAATAAGTCTTAAAAGCAAAGATTGGAAATCAGATTGATACACTCAAAAACCACAAAAAATGGGGTTTTTAACAGAAAAAGTACATCAGACACGGTTTTTTGTTTTATTGCAACATACCAAATGGCCTCAAAAGCATGAGAGCTTCTAGGAAGTACGATTTGATACGCCTCTACCTTGGCCACGACCACCATACTCATAGCCGCCGCCACCACCACGCCCACCATAACCGCCATAACCACGTCCACCATAACCGCCACGTGAATGACCATTCCGACCATAACCACGCCCTCCTCGACCTCCTCTGAATCTTGAGAACTCACCAAATGTCTGGAATCACACCAATACCGTTTGTTAAGAGTCAATGCGGTTTTTTCTTTAAGATTCTGAAAAATTGAGCATCTCCAGAAAGAAGACGGAGACTAATTATGTCCAGACATATGTATAGATGTGTACCTCAGTATCCAGTTTCCGTTGCTCTGCGAACCTAGGCCTTGCATTTTGGGATTCTCGGTCAATGGAATTTGATGAGAGGCTATCGAAAAAGTCGTCTTTGTTGTAAACAGGCTACATCAATAAACAGTTGAGGTATATGAGACCAGGAATGGGGAGTGAATATAGCGGTTTTACTTGATTATTAGTCTACTTCACTTACTTTGGCCTCAATCTTAGGCAGCTCAGCTTCATGTACGATTGGGGAATCATCATCACCATCACCATCACCATTGGTACTCTTCCCAAGATGACCCCATACTTCATCCTTATTGAACTTTTCATTCATTGCTGTGAAATCAAAATCTTCGGTGAACTTCATTACCTGGTGTGATCTCTGCAAACAAGAAGTATCATTAGCATACATAGCTATGGTTCATGAGCTATTTTCAACTAGTGGATCTTTCCCCAGTAAAATAAATAAAACCCTTGTCACATTCTACAGATGAGTGAGAAGAATATTACCCCTGCTCCTCTTCCTCTTCCTCTCCCCCCACGTCCTCTGTAACCATTGTGGTTTGGGAAAGAATGCCCATTTGGCTGAGAACAAAAAAAATCAGCAAACGAGTTCAATTAATCATCAAACCATGACTTGTAAGCAAACATCACAACAAGGTGCATATAAAACAGTTACAGGTTATTTCAGCTAGCTCAGACAACAAGCAAAGTGCAAAGCAGCTCTCAAAAATATTTTTTTGTGTACTTTCTTATATCATTTAACGCAGCAGCTATTTCAATTTTAGGGCTGACCAATAGATAAAAATATTAAAAAAGTTATGCGAGTTTAAAACCTTCTGAGCTTGTCTTGCGGAAGAAGGCAATGGCAGAATTGGAGGTTGGGCTTCTGATGTTATTGGAACAGATTGTTCCAACCCAGCGGATGATGATACTTGAACCACCTCAACATCTTTATCCACATTTTTAGAGGGTGGAGTTAAAGAGACTGCAGCAGGTCCAGACTGCAGCAGTTGGCCAGGAGTAACCAACAAAGGTTTTGGCTTATCTTGGCTAATAGAATTAGAAACTCCAGCAACAGAAGCAGACGGTGCTGATGGAGCAGATGGTGTTGTCTGCGGCAGAGAAATTGGACCAGCGACTACACTAGGCTTGTTAGACAGTGGAAGGCCAGCACTTGTGTCGGTGGCTCTAGTAGTTGATAGCGAATAGGGAAGCAAATTAGTATCCTGAGGTAGGGAAGGAGGCAGAGCAGCAGGAGCTTTGTTCGACAACAAAGGAGGTGCCATCTCTGAAGCTAGGGGAGGAGTTGGCCCTGATTGCAGTGTCGATTGCAGGCTTGAAGACAGCGGCATAGGCAGACCAGAGAAAGGCAATGAACTGGGTGCTAGATTTTGTGAACTGTTACTGAAAGGAAACAATGAAGAGGGTGGTTCTGGCAAGCTTGAACCCTGCAAATTTGATGAACCAATAGGTGGAGGAGCATTGAAGCTAGGATATTGAAGGGGCTGCTGCAGAGAACTGGGCATTGGCAGCCCGTGAGGGGGTCGCATCAGAGACTGTTGATGCATTTGGGGAAGGCCATTGGGTGGTGGGGTGTAGAATCCTTGCCAATACATCGGCGGTTGTGGTGATGCTCCCCACGAACCAAGATTTCCACCAGGCTGATACAAAGGCATTCCAGTTTGAAATCCCATTCCATGCTGTCCATGTTGTCCAGGCTGTCCAGGTTGTCCATTATGAGAACTAATATCAGGAAGTGACCCGCTCGCAGTAGAAGGCAAGCTACTAGATGTCGGAATCGGGCTAGGGTAGTGAGACTGCAAAACAAAGACAAGTAGAGGATGAGGGTTATATCAAAATGACTCCAAAATCACAGAAGATATAATTTTGTAACGTTACCACCATTTACCTGAATTATAGCAGGGTCGTTATTTAAAGCAGGTGGAGGCTGAACAGGTGGAGAAGCTTTGACTTGCAAATCCTGCAAATAACAAGAACAATGAGTGTCCAAAGTGAGCAGGCTGATAACAGTGACAAACAATGATTACATAAAAAGAAGCATTAGCATAATCTGGTTGAATACCTTGATATCAGTCCCACGGAACAATATGTACTCGTAAACTTTGTCACCAGGAGGAACTTGAGGACCATCTTTTTTCCTTCCCTCAGTTCCAAATGATCGGACTGCATATGTGGAAATTTCAGGGATCAGTACACCTCAAGAGACTAAGCTCTCATGATCCACCAATAGTTTGAAAAGCATTGTTTACAATTTAACAAGCTAAATAGCTGACATGAACACTTCTTTTCCATAAATTCCAAGCACAAGAGCAATAATTTTCTTCAGATCGAGCTAAACAGTTCAAGATAAGATTGGAGCAAATTTCACAAGAATAATAAAGACTGCAAGAGGAAGGCAAATCGAAACGAAGCTAGATAGCTGACACGAATACTTCTTTTCCATAAATTCCAAGAACAAGAACAATAATTTTCTTCAAAATTGAGCTAAACAGTTCAAGATAAGATTGGAGCAAATTTCACAAGAACAATAAAGACTGCAAGAGGAAGGTAAATCGAAACGAAGCCCTAAGTTTCTGCCAAATCAGAAAGAGAACGCACGGCGGATACACCACCAAAATCAAACTACGCATCTAACAATCCGCAATCCAAAGGAAGTGAAAAACGAATCTTACCGTTTTGCAGTCCGATACTGGATTCATCTGTATTAATATTATAAAGGATCCCTTCGTATCTGATCTCGCTCTTGGATGTCAAACTAATCAAGCTCCCAACGTAAGAATCCGCAGCGGAGCTCGATTTCGCGCCCGTATTATCAGCCGCCATATCCGATCTGTGTCTCTCTTCGCCGAATAACCACGGAGAATCAAAGACAAAGAGAGAAGAAAACTAAAGTCGAGAGCAAGCAATTACACTCCGCGAGTTCCTGATCCCCTTCGAAAGACAGAAAAGAAAGCTATAGAAACACACAATTAGGGTTTACTCTAATTTGAGGAGATCGAGCATCTCTTTCTGATTATCCATTCCCGTAAAAAGCCCAAAAAGAGAAAAGAAAAATTATCAATCTGACCATAATAGCCTCGAGCTGTTCCATTGACTTCTTTCTACTAACTACTCATAGAAAGCCACGTGTCTATGTTCGGTGCCCTCTCCGTAATTCACCTCAATGATGTGTTTAGGCACAACCAGTAGCTGCGAGCCAACGAGCCACTTCAATTGCACGATTCGTCTTCGTGAAAGCTTATTCTTTACAGATTTAACCCTGTGGCTTTGTAATTAAATTTTGCGCTTGTGACCTCTTACTTTGGTTAGTTCGGTAATTAAAACCGTTTAAATTTATGTTGCATGAAAATTCCGTGTGAGCTACGTTTTCCATTTTGGAAACATTTCCGAAACGAAAACTCATTTTCAAAAATCTTCAATTTGGAAATTTGATGGACCTCGCGTTTCCATTTTTGAAACTTGACGGAACCTTACTTCTTGTTTTGGAAAAACATAATAATGAAATAATTATAAAATATATAATAAGATTAAATTACTTTTTTTGTCAATAGCAACTATTCCTATACCGTTCCAGAAGTCCAGACTGGTGGAGTAGAATTTATTTAATAAACATTGTGAAGGAGATCTCGTGCACTTCGTGCTAGCTTGTTAGTCTTCATGTTTTTTTGTCATTGGTATATGATGGATGGAGAAGGTGATGAACCTCTTCTTGCATCTGTCGACTTCTTCAAGAAGAATCCAGAACGTTGGCCACTCATATGGATTAGACACCATCTTCACCATGTCATAGCAGTCTGTATCGAAAAGCAGCTCTTATTTTTTATGTTAAATCATGATTAAGATTAAATGATTAACTATCTAATTGATTTATTTAAGATAAATTAGTGATTAATTTGATTCATTATATGAGATTAGTCTTTGCATTATATGTTGTGTTTTGATTGATAGAATTCATAGTAATAATAATAGAAAATATTTTTAAAGTTTTGATATTGAGCATTGTGATATTTATCTTTACTTAAACTATTTAATAATATATTTATTATACATGTATACATTTTTACAATTATATTTTCTCATTTTGAAAATGTTTTGTTTTCGCGTTTCCGTTTTCGTTTCCATGTAAAATATAGAATTAAACAACTAACCAAGTGCGTTTTTAGCGACCTCATAATAATGAAATAATTATGAAATATATAATAAGATTAAATTACTTTTTTGTCAATAGCAACTATTCCTATACCGTTCCAGAAGTCCAGACTGGTGGAGTAGAATTTATTTAATAAACATCGTGAAGGAGATCTCGTGCACTTCGTGCTAGCTTGTTAGTCTTCATGTTTTTTTGTCATTGGTATATGATGGATGGAGAAGGTGATGAACCTCTTCTTGCATCTGTCGACTTCTTCAAGAAGAATCCAGAACGTTGGCCACTCATTTGGATTAGACACCATCTTCACCATGTCATAGCAGTCTGTATCGAAAAGCAGCTCTTATTTTTTATGTTAAATCATGATTAAGATTAAATGATTAACTATCTAATTGATTTATTTAAGATAAATTAGTGATTAATTTGATTCATTATATGAGATTAGTCTTTGCATTATATGTTGTGTTTTGATTGATAGAATTCATAGTAATAATAATAGAAAATATTTTTAAAGTTTTGATATTGAGCATTGTGATATTTATCTTTACTTAAACTATTTAATAATATATTTATTATACATGTATACATTTTTACAATTATATTTTCTCATTTTGAAAATGTTTTGTTTCCGCGTTTCCGTTTTCGTTTCCATGTAAAATATAGAATTAAACAACTAACCAAGTGCGTTTTTAGCGACCTCACCAAGACACGTAAAATAGGAAAGAGGAGAGACTGCTTAGAAAACTCTTTGATCACTGATTAGCAATCTATAGCTTGAGGTATGCTTTTTTGGTGTTTTCTTATGAAGCATGTGTTGGACGTTTTTATGCTGCTTTGATACATAACTTTATTTGTTTCCTGTTGATGTTTTGGATTTTCTTGGAAATATATTATCTTCCACATCATACAATATGGGCAACTCTCAGTGTGTTCTTGATCTAGGCCCTGTTATGTTTCTTCTGATGCTTGATTTAATTTGTAAGGTCACTTGAATAGTTACTAAATCATTTTGATGTAATTTATAGATTGAAATGGCTTTGAAGGGTACTTGATTAATTATGAGGTGAAGGGTCCTTGCGGGACTAAGGAATCTGAAGCAAATGCTTTGGTTGCTAGTGGTATTGATGGAAACTATTTTGGAAAGAAAAAGGCTCGTAGTTGTCGAAAAGCTTCCACTGATTGTTAAAGTTGAATATGAAATAAAGAAAATGGAACGATGTCATTTGATTATTTAAGAAGAAAAAAGGCTATTTGAAAACTCTCCAAACCAAAATAATGTGTAAAATTTATTTGTTGTGTTTACTTATTATATTTAACTTGATTCTGGGCTTAAAAACGAGGAAAAGAGAATTAAAACTTCGATTCATATGTTGAAACTGAGAATGAGCTCTTATCATTATCGAAAGTCCGATACAAACTATAAAGTGGGTTACTATACGACAACACAAAAGCTCTTAGCCGAAGAATTTGTACCATTTTGTTACCACAGTGGGAATTCCCTCATACTACACCGCTGCCCAAAATATTTGCAAGATGACCAAAACATCATATGATTAAGTAAAAATGCGCCCGTAAGAACACATTAAAAGGAAGAACAGTGACGTGTTTTCGTTGCAACTTGCAAGAAAAGATCTAAATAATGATAAAACTTGTAAATTAACATGCACCACCAATAGTTGTGACCGAAATAGAAATGATAACGAGGTCGTCCAAGAAAGAACGCAGTAAATTACTTTACTTTCGATTCATTTGATTGATATTCTAGCTACTTCTGATTCATTCTTTGCATTTTAGTCGTTGTTTTGACTTTTGACCACTTCAAGTCACTGGTCATTCGCATATGAGAGAGTAGATTATCCATTGCAAGTGAACTATCATAACTCAGAAAGCCACAACAACCATTATGCATTAAACAGACTGCCGTGTGGATATCTCGTATTTCGAAACTTTGAGTATTTTGGATTAGATCGCGTTCGTAAAGTATTTAATTTTTTCTCAAAGAAAGTTAGTTTATAGTTTATCCGCAAAAATTGTATTAGGCTGCTTTATATCATTACTAGACGGACCCAAAGAACGATCATCCCCTATGATTACAAATAATTAAGTTAAAGCTTAAGATAGTTGATTATATATATTTTTTGTTATAAAGGATTTAAGATAGTTGATTATATTATACACCGCTTTGATTTGTTCTCTAAATAATTTTCAAATCCGTCCACTAAAAAGTAAAAAACTAGGAGCGGATCTACTTCTAATTATACTCAAGAAACTCTACTGGCCAAACAATCATTTCATATGGTTCTTCCTTTTTAAATAATGCATATCGTTTAATAGCCACTCTTATAAATTTAAGCAAAACAAATTATTTGTTAGGAATTTTTATTTATTTTTGTTTGTTAGCCTGCCATAATATCAAGAGTAATTTTAATTTATTATTTTGGAGGAAATCGGGAATCACACACATTGGCACCGCCATAATTCACACTTGCTCAACACCACGTGTCATCATATGAGAGCGTAAAAACTGTATGTAGGGCCCACTTCTAACAGACCAGATATATCAGACGATTGTACGGCATTTTTTCTTTCACAAAAATATCTCTCCTTCACACTCTCCCACACTGTTTTCTTCTCTTTTTCCTTCTGCTGGTCTAGTCAATCGACGGTCAAAGTAATTCTTTCGTCGTCTTCCAGTTTTCTCAGGAATCGCTGTTCGTCATACGCGATGACGGATACTACGGACGATATCGCGGAGGAAATTTCGTTCCAGAGCTTCGAAGATGACTGCAAGCTGCTCGGAAGTCTCTTCAACGACGTCTTGCAGAGAGAAGTCGGCTCCGATTTCATGGAGAAAATCGAACGGACTCGGATTCTCGCTCAGGTTTGCTTCTATTCGACTTCGCTCTCTGTTTCCAAAGCTCCTTTGTGATTTCTGTTGTCTTATGGTTGAGAAGCGGTGACGGTTGATTCCGATCCATCTTTAGAGCTGAAAATAGGGAAAACGATTTCTGTAGCTTACGATCTGTTTGTTTTGAAAGGAAATAGAAAAATAGGAGAGGTTTTTTCCGAATTGCTTGCGGTTGACGAAAACGATTTGGTCCTTCAGTAGTAAATCGTGCTTGTGTTTGATTTTACACAGTTGAATCGAAAATCCTCGGATAGCTTTCTTTTTCCTAGTGGATTCGTCTAAGATCTGGATTATGCGTTTTAATCATTATCTCTCTTGTTGGAGACTGGATTCTGAAGATGATGTTGTTTTTAACTGCATATAATATTTGATCCGTGCAAGATAGTAGATAAAGAGTCAAAAACCCTGTGATGATACTATTTTGGCTTTGCTTCACCTTTCAGAGTGCTTTAAATCTTCGTTTGGCTGGTATTGAAGACACGGCAGAGCTTCTGGAGAAGCAACTGACTTCTGAAATAGCAAACATGTCGCTGGAGGAAGCATTAACACTGGCTCGTGCATTCAGCCATTTCCTTAATCTGATGGGCATTGCCGAAACTCATCACAGGTGAACTATATGATTGACCTCCACATGTCAATAGAATGAATGAATTTCGTCAATGATCGTTATCTCACGATGAAGTGTGGATACTTGGGAGATACTTATGTTTTGCTTAACCCCTGGCCTTTAAGGCTGAAAGATTGCTTTATCATTTGGGCAAAATGTTTTCTGTTTTCAGAGTTCGTCGAGTCCGTGACCTTCCACAACTTTCAAGATCATGCAACGATATATTCAGTAAGCTATTGCAAGGTGGTATTTCCCCTGATGAGCTTTACGATACAGTTTGCAAGCAGGTATACTTCATTTCTCTACTCGGTATTACTCTTTGATTCCTGACACTTATTTGATCCCTTTTATAAAAATCTGATAAATTGGTAACTTGTAACTGCAAGATTGAGTTCAAAGACTGTCAGTGCAGTGCGAAGTAAATACATTTTCTTGTCCTTGTTTTGTAACTAAACTTTATCCAATGCAGACGGTTGAAATTGTTCTTACTGCACACCCCACTCAGATTAATCGGCGAACCTTGCAGTACAAACATATTAGAATGGCTGTAAGTTTTTGGTAATGCTGATATTGATACTATACATGTTTCAAGCAATTAAAGGTTTATGGTCATTGTTCATTTGCAGCATCTTCTAGAATATAACGATAGACCAGACCTTGGATTTGAAGATCGAGAAACGGTCATTGAGGATCTGGTACTATCTTCCTCAATATCTTCCTTAGAATTTCTCTGAGCTGATGCAGTACATCTAATAACTTCAATTCAATTTAAAGGTTAGGGAGATAACTTCACTGTGGCAGACTGATGAACTTAGACGTCAGAAACCTACTCCTGTTGATGAAGCTAGGGCTGGTATGCTCATTAAAATTCTGTAAATGTCAGAGAACTTTCATTTGATAAACCGAGGTTTTGCTACAAGTATATGTTTCCTTATGGTAGGTTTGAACATTGTTGAGCAATCCCTATGGAAAGCTGTACCACATTACTTGCGTCGTGTCAGCAGTTCTTTGAAGAAGGTCTTATTATTTTGTTCTCATTTATTTGCAAATTCTGAGTGGTAAAGTTACTTGATATTGAAATATGTTATTCTCTATGCCTTCTTCAGTTAACGGGAAAGCCGCTCCCATTAACTTGCACCCCAATAAAGTTTGGTTCCTGGATGGGTGGTGACAGAGATGGAAATCCAAATGTCACGGCAAAGGTGAGCTTCTATATGCTATTATTCACCTTATAATCACTGTATGTGTGAGAATGGTAGACTTTTCTGGGAATTCGAATTCTACATTATTATAAGATTTAGCTGGAATGAGCGAGATATTAAGGTTAACTTGCTAACACACTATGATTTTTATCAATAAATTTTCAGGTCACAAAAGAAGTATCGCTTATGTCTAGGTGGATGGCTATCGATCTTTACATAAGAGAGATTGATAGCTTAAGATTTGAATTGTCTATGAATCGATGCAGCGATAGATTGTCAAGATTGGCAGATGAAATTCTTGAAAAAGGTATGCTTCTGGTCTTCTGAGTGACATCTCATATCTCAGTTTTTTTCTTGATTCTTGAAAGCACAAATCTTCAAGATGCTTTTTTAATTCACCTCAGAAATTTCTGATGAAGATCACTTTGAAAGTTGGGTTCCGAGTGTTGGTAGAAGCCAAACTAAATTTCCAAGCCAGCAGGGCTCATCCCTACCCACTCAACTTCCACCTAGAGCTGACCTTCCCTCCTGTGCTGGTAAAGACTTTCATGCAAGACTACCCTCTTCTTATTTAAGTTTACAATCATGCATAACTTTCTTCTCCATTCAAGCCCATCTTACCAAGTTTCTGATATCATACTCGCAGATTGTGGTGAATCAGAGTATCCCAAGCTTGAAGTTCCTGTGACAGATTATATGCCACTCAATCGACAGGTGAAGCATAGCTCTAGGATGCATATTATAATATAGAATCTGGCTGTGTTTGCGTGTACTTTGATAGATTTCTTGATATTCCTTACTTTTCTTTCTTAAATAGGATGTTCAAGGCATTCCCCTTGATTGCTCCGGTCATAGTTTGAATATCAAGACAGGAAATGGAACTTCCGTCAACTCTAATGGTTCTCAGCAAAGTATTACTCCCCGAGGTTCTTCCTCCTCTTCTCAACTTCTTCTTCAGAAGAAACTGTTAGCGGATTCTCAGATAGGAAGGACCAGTTTTCAAAAGCTATTAGAACCAACTCCACCTAAACGAGCTGGAATTGCTCCTTATCGGATTGTTCTTGGCGAAGTAAAGGAAAAGGTGCTGATCCTTCTATTAAGCTGATGTAAAGAGCTGAATAAGCATCTTCAAAGATGTGAATTGTTCATGTATCGCCAACGGCATTTATCTTCAGGCACTCGTTAACTCATTTGAAGAATCTTCTCAATATTACAAATTTATAACCATCTTGGTAAATTCTATTTTCTTGAGTAAAATGACTCGCACGTAATTATCTGTGGTTGCAGCTTCTGAAGACACGCAGACTTCTGGAACTTCTTCTAGAGGGTCTTCCATGTGAATATGATCCTTGGGATTACTATGAAACATCAGATCAACTTCTGGAACCACTACTTCTCTGCTATGAATCTCTGGTAGGATCTTTCTCCATGCGAAATGAACTTCTGGAACCACTTGACCACTTTTATATGTTAAAATCGTTACTTTTACAGCAGTCATCTGATGCCGGAGTTCTAGCTGATGGCCGGCTTGCTGATCTGATCCGTAGAGTTGCAACCTTCGGCATGGTTTTGATGAAACTTGATTTGCGACAGGTAAGGTTTTTTCATCATGTTTTGGCTTTTTGTATGTTATTTCTGTCTGATATAGGATTCATGAACCAGGAAGCTGCAAGGCATTCTGAAGCTTTAGATGCAATTACAACGTACTTGGACATGGGCTCATATAGTGAATGGAATGAAGAGAAGAAACTTGAGTTTTTGATAAGAGAACTGAAAGGGAAACGTCCCCTTGTCCCTCCAAATATTGAGGTCAGCAAGCACTCACCGTGTGGTTTCTTTTAATTTTTGTATGTTTGGCCTGTCTCAGAAAAAATATGAATTCTAATTGGCAATTAAAACTTATCATACTGTTAGACCAAATGGAATGGTCAAGAACTTGTCAGTTTCTGTCTATTTTCATTAAATAAAGCCAATATGATGATGTGAAATTGATCTCTGATCATATCTCAAGGCATGTTACGTTTCCAACATCATTATAAAAACTATTGAACCTTTTTTCAGGTTGGTCCTGAAGTAAAAGAAGTACTAGACACCTTCCGAGTTGCTGCTGAGCTAGGAAGTGAATCACTTGGAGCTTACGTGATTTCCATGGCTTCAAACGTATGATAGATTTGAGTCTTTTACAGTCACTTCTTTGCTGAAGCAAATGTGGACACAGCAGAGAAAATGATAACACTGATTTGTTGCTACTTGTAGGCAAGTGATGTCCTCGCTGTGGAGCTTTTACAAAAAGATGCCCGTCTTGCTGTCAGCGGCGAACTAGGGAGGCCATGTCCTGCTGGAACGTGAGTGTGATTTCTTGCAGGAACACTTTATTGTTTACCGTTTTGACTGCCTGCTTTCATGAAGGATTTTGTGTCTCTGTCTTTCATGTTTTCATGACTTGTATGCTGATTTGTTTTTGTTACATGATAGCCTGCGAGTGGTACCTCTTTTTGAAACGGTGAAGGACTTAAGAGAGGCTGGGTCCGTGATAAGTAAATTACTATCAATTGAGTGGTACAGAGAACACATCCAAAAGAACCACACTGGACACCAAGAGGTAAATATCCTTAATTCAAACTACTTCCATCTTTGGAGGATGCGCCAGTTGTACGTCTTAAAAGACTTGCAACATCATTTATGTGCAGGTGATGGTTGGATATTCTGATTCTGGAAAAGATGCTGGTCGCTTTACTGCAGCATGGGAACTTTACAAAGCCCAGGAGGATGTTGTGGCTGCTTGCAACGAATTCGGCGTCAAAGTTACCTTGTTTCATGGACGAGGAGGAAGTATTGGCCGTGGTGGGGGCCCAACTTATCTCGCCATACAATCCCAGCCTCCAGGTTCTGTGATGGTGAGTTACTCTATAAGCTTCCACAAATGAGTTTCAGTTTTTTCGCTTTTCAGCCAGCGTTCTCTTACTCACAGTCTTGCTTTGACTCTGCAGGGTACTCTGCGTTCAACAGAGCAAGGCGAGATGGTGCAAGCCAAGTTTGGGTTACCACAGACGGCTGTTAGGCAGCTAGAGATTTACACAACCGCAGTACTTCTTGCTACTTTAGAACCTCCTCAGCCACCTCGAGAAGATAAATGGCGGAGTCTAATGGAAGATATTTCCAGCATCAGCTGCAGAAACTACAGAAGCACTGTCTATGAAAACCCAGAATTCCTCTCCTACTTCCAAGAGGCTACACCTCAGGCCGAGCTGGGTTTCCTCAACATAGGAAGCCGGCCAACACGAAGAAAGAGCTCATCTGGGATCGGACATCTCCGAGCTATCCCTTGGGTTTTCGCTTGGACCCAGACAAGGTTTGTCCTTCCAGCTTGGCTCGGTGTGGGAGCTGGTCTGAAAGGAGTCTGTGAGAAGGGTCACGCTGATGATCTCCAAGCAATGTACAAAGAATGGCCCTTCTTTCAGTCCACCATAGACCTTATAGAGATGGTCTTAGCTAAAGCAGACATCCCAATAGCCAAACACTACGATGAAGAGCTTGTCTCGGAGAGCAGAAGAGGACTTGGTACTGAGCTCAGAAAAGAATTGCTGACTACTGAGAAGTATGTGCTTGTGATAAGCGGTCATGAGAAGCTCTCGGAGAACAATCGGAGCCTGAAGAAACTGATAGAGAGTAGACTCCAGTATCTGAATCCCTTGAACATGCTGCAGGTTGAGATCCTCAAGAGGCTAAGACGTGATGACGACAACATCAAGCTCAGAGATGCTCTACTCATCACCATCAACGGTATTGCAGCTGGAATGAGGAACACTGGTTAAGATAAAACCCTAACACTCTTAAAAACTCGACTTTGGTTTTGCTTGTGTTTCGAACTACCTTTCCACTTTTCATCAATCTGCTTCTTTGCCTCTACTGCTATTCTGTACTCTCAACTGTTGAATCTTAAGTAAATGAGTGCATTATAATAATCACGAACTATTTCAGAAAAAAAAAAATCCAGTGTCACGTTTAACTTGTCTTTTCCTTTTTTTGGTAACCTGTTACATGACAATGGATGCGCAGAGAAGAAAAGTTAAATTTAATGAGACCAAGTAAACAAAGACTTGTTTCTTCACTGCTCTTTGTTTGTTGTTCTACAAATACCACAAACCAAGAAACTGACAAAAAAAAATTAATGTGGATTGCAACTGGGAATCTACATGGCAAAAGAATCAATGTGTCTTGCAATCTGGGATACAATTTCATCATCATTAAAGTTCAAGATCATCCAGGGTCGTCAAAGTATAAAGGATGTTAAGAAATATGCACAGTAGCCGTCTGTATCACCGGAAGAAGGAATTTACTTCCTCTGCTCTCTCTTGGGAGGAGCTAAAGAGGGTGAGAGCTAGAACGGACTGACCCAGTGAGCCAACTTCAACATGAATTCAGGCACAAGACGCCTTCTGGCTACGCTGTTAGCAGTCACTTCTGGATCGTCTCCCAGAACCACTGATACTATATCTTCAAACAGCTCGTCTCTTCCCCCTCTCATTGGATCCTAACATAGATATATAACCAAGTTCCTAGATCAATATTCAGGGACCAGCCATTTGATTCTTAAAAAGACTGACCACTGTACCTGAAGAAACACATCCGTGTGCGTTTTCCCCTCATATAGGATCACTTCTGCTTTGGCTCCAAGCCTTTGGAGGGTTTCCGCAAAAGATTTACTGCAAAAATAAAGATACCACAAGTTCAAACATTGTATCAACCGGCTAAAATACATTAGACAGACAAAGCTACAAAAGTTTTACCATACCTTGCATCAGAAGGGATGGAGTAGTCAGCAGTACCATGGAACAGAATAAAAGGTGGGAGACGAGGAATGATGTGTTTGAGATTTGGGTTTTGCACTACTAGTTCAGGAGAAAACTGCCTTAATGATTCCTCTCCTTCCATGATGCTGATGGAAATCAACAGTCGCACGTTAAAACTGTAAAACTTCAGGCTGCTCTACTGGTCAGCATAAGCTATACCAAGCATTGATATCATACCTCAGAAAGATGGAACGGTACAGCCCCCTGCTATGGAAGTGGTCTACAAGGTTCAAAAGGTTGTACCTGTAGATCATGATCACAGAGCTTTTAAGAATAGTCAAAAAGATAATGTGACGCCTAAAGATATTTAGTTTTATATGGCTTCAGTTGGATAGAAGACAAGGCATCTACTTGCCTACAATTTGACCTTACGCTATGCGATGCAATTTAAGAATTTTCGACCATCATTTTACAATAAGACTTGCAGCTTCTAGACGCATATCTGATATCCCAGTTCCAATGTATCGTCGTTCTGAGACAAGAAGAAAGGATATCGCTTACCCTCCAGAGAGACCAAAATAAGCATTTATCTGAGAACTACTCCAAGAGACACTGTCCCCTTCCCCGGACTCTTTAATGACCTGATCCACAAGAGTACAAGCCGCGATATGTGCACCAGCAGACTGACCCATCAGATAAATTCTTCACGACAAAAAAAGATCAGAAATCAGAGATCCATAAATCTAATACCTGAGAACTTCCATATTCAAGAATCGTCCACAGGATTCATACCTGTTTGGATCACCACCATACTCAGCAATATGATTACAAATATATGAGATGCCACAAGAAGCATCTTTGACCATGTCACTAATAGATCCCTGAGGAAAATTCCTGCGTAAGAGAAAATATTGCCAGTGAGATTTGGAAACTGGAAACAATAACATTACCAAAAAAACAACTGCAACTGGAAAATTGATGCAATATAAGAGGACACCACCACATTCAATATGCCAGAAAGAAAAAAAATCCTTAGGCACACAATATAGTTACCTGTAATCAATGCATGCGACAATAATATCTCTTTCTGATAATTGTTGACCTAAAAGAGAACCCCACGCCTTATAACTGTATCAACCAACACAAGACAACAATTGTGTAAGACATTTGGGTATAGAATGAAAACAGTGTCCATTGGGTATCAAACTCACCCAATAATCCAGGCTCCACCAGTCACAAACGCCACAACTGGTTTTGGACCGTTGGAGTTCTTAGGTAGGTACAAGTCAAGCCTGAAGAAACAAAAAAAACCGACTAAAATCAACAAACAAAGCATAAAGCATCAACTAGTCTCTAAACATGAATAAAACGAATAACCAGTAAACGATTATGACCTGTTTCTTGGTTGATCACCATAGACAATACTTCTGCGGACGTGAGGAGAGAAGAAATAGTAATATCCGACTGCAAAGTAAACTCCGAACCTTTTAGCAGTGAAACTTACAGTTACCATCTTAGAGACAGAGAGAGGTAGAGCATTAAATATTTAGATCCAACTAAAACAAGTGTACGAACCTTGAATAAAGCCTGGCATTAGCAGAAATGCATAACATCCGAGTGCCAGAAATCTTGTGATCCATCTATAGCCTACCCTGAATAATAGTTTTTGATCAGTCATGTCTCATAAATCAATTCATCTTGCAAACCAACAACGAAAGATGATCTCTTTCTTCAACTATATTCAAGATCCATGCCTAAGTAGATCGATTAGATTCAGCAATTCTCACAGATACAGATCTTAAGAAAAAAAAAGGGGGATAAATACCCAAGATAGCTGAGGAGCTTCAAGCCGAGACGAGTCAACAAGAAGGTCTCAGCGGCGGCGTGGCCAACCTCCTGAGCGATAGTTTGGGGGCCGCTATCACCGCCGTCGGTTCCATTGGTATCGTCGGGAAACGCAGAGAGACAGTTATCGCTGTTGGACCGTCGCCGTCTGTTGTGATACCAACCGGTTAATCCACCATTAGGCGCCATGGTCGCGACGCCGCCGTTGAAGCTGGCGGCTCGGGAGAGGAGGGGCTTGACGCTGTGGTCGTCATCGAATCGGGAAGAAGCGAGGAGGCTCGTCGAGGGATCATTGTAAACCAAAGGCTTGAACATCATTTCCGTCGAGGGTGAGGATTTAGGTGGAAGATGTGAGATTTGGAGAATCTGCGACGGCATTTTCTCCTTGTTGCCCGATTTCTCCGTTTGGCTAATTTAGGCAACAGATTCGGAAATTGTCGATCGCGGAGAATCAAGAGAGAGAGAGAGAGAAGTCGCAAAATTAAACCGCAATGAACCAGATGGTTTTTTGTTGTTGTCCAAATTCATAACAAAAAAAAGTTTTTCTTACTCCATTTGACAAAAAAAAAAAACAGTTTAGCACTACACAAAAATGAAAAATCACAAACAACTTCAGTTACTTTGAAATTTTTCAAACATTCTCTAAATCTGATTGATTATGATTTTGTTAGACAATTATAATGTGACTGAGTATGGTAGGATAATTCATGTAAATTTAGTGTCAAATCAATTTAGAAGATCTTTGCAATGTGTGTCATCCACAAGATCCTCCAAACTCGTCGTGTCTTCAATTGTTTATGGCAAGATGAAACAAAGTATCCAAAATATGGCTGCCATGTAAAAAGCTATACTGATCTTCTAAACGATTTGTTTTCTGTAGACTGCTGAGTTTAGTTTTAAAAGTTCCATGTCGACTGTTTAAATTAATTTTATGCTAAATACGTAACCATTCAACAAGGCTCCCATTTCCCAATTAAATTGGATTTGTGCTAATAGTAGTAGATTAGTAGTGACTAGTGAGATACTCAGATCATTGTGACTATATATACTTAACTTATGTTACTCTATTATCAGACAAACTGTTACGTGAAGATAACAAATACTGAAATCTACATGTAAGGAAAGAATGGAAATTTTTTAATTTTTCTTCACTCAAATCAAAATACTTTCCACATAAGAAGAGGAAAAATGTATTTTCACGAAAATAATTAGAATAAATAAAAAAAGTAAAGGAAAAAAGTAGAAACTTGGAGAGTAAGACAAAAGCCCTAATCTTTATTAGGGCATCTGTTGAAACTTGGAAGAATGACGATGACGACGATAAGCGATATTCCACCGAAGTTGGTAGGGAAGAAGATACTGAGGAGGGTTCCGATAACATCTTTGGGAGCAGTGCGATCTGCTTGCAAACTATGGAACTCTTTATCCAGAGATTGGTTCTTGGGTAAAGCAGCAGCAAAGCAGCAGTTCCTAGGGTTCATGACGATGGAGTCCAAGGTTTGTTCAGTGAGATTCGATCTCTTCAAGGACAAGGACAGAGACGACCGTGGCTTGGTTGATATATCTGTAAAGCATGTAGCTGCGCTTGATCAAGTCGAGATATCTAAAGTCCATTACTGCAAAGGCTTAGTGTTATGCGTCCTCAAGGACAGCTCTAGTCTCGTGGCTTGGAACCCGTATCTGGGGCAAACAAGGAGGATCAAGCCCAGTGTAGCTTTCCACACAAATGACATGTATGCTCTCGGATACGACAAGAAGAGCCGCAGCCACAAAATCGTGAGGTATTTGGATGGTTTACACTCAACATTCGGGACCGTCGACAGGTTAAGGTATGAAATCTACGATTTCAGCTCTGATGCATGGAGGGTTCTTGACGTCACTCCCCACTGGAATATAGAGTGTTATCATCGCGGCGCATCTTTGAAGGGAAACAGCTACTTTTTTGCTCAAGAAAAAGTACCTGAAAGTGTTGAAGTGGTTGAGTATGAAAACTTTTTAATCTGCTTTGATTTTACAAGTGAGAGGTTTGGAAAGCGTCTTGCTCTTCCGTTTCAATCTTACATAGAAGAGACTGTGACACTGGCTTGTGTCAGAGAAGAGCAGCTCGCTGTGCTGTATCAGCGGTGGGAAACATTGCTTGAAGTCATGCAGATTTGGGTTACCACTAAGATTGACCCCAACTCAGTCTCCTGGAGCAGGTTTCTGAAAGTGGACATGAGACCACTCTGTGGTTTTCAGTTTGAATATCTAGCTGCGAGCTTCTTCATTGACGAGGAGAAGAAAGTCGCTGTGGTTTTCGATTTTGACAAGGACCTTGTGCACAACACAGCTTATATCGTCGGAGTTGATGGATACTTCAAGTCTGTGCGTCTCGGAGAAGCTCGGGATCGCTGGTTCCGCCCACTTGTGTGCTCATCTTCTTATCTCCCAAGTTTAGTGCAGATCAACAACCAAAGGCGCAAAAGGAAGAAACGAGATGTTTAGTTTGCATTCTACGCAACTATTAATTCTGTTTCTTAGTAATCCAGCTAATAATTAATTATACATTTCGGCTTTTTACATGTTCGTTTGTAACTGCTCTTGGAAGAATTTTATACTTGTAGGTAAAGTATGATCGAACACAAGACATTTTTACTACATTCCTCTTGCCCACATCGTGTCTTGGGATTTGTCTGATGATCCATATTCACTCTAGGGACTTGTTGGTGTATGTATATCATGGCCAAAGTTTCATTATTTATCTTCATGTTCATTTTCACTAACCAACCTTTTCTTCATTCTTAATTTCTTATAGTTCTCGTTTACTAGTCGTAACTTTAATCAAAAGGCAAAGCCAATAAAGGCTAATTACATCCCAAAAACAGTTAACAAATTCAGCAAGAAAAAACTTCAAGGCATGTAAATTGGACGATATATTTCGATGTATGAAGTATGAATCAAAATCCTTAAGATGATAACATGATAAGAGATTTACATATCACAAAGGGAAGAGAAAAAGGTAAGAGATGGAGGAAATAGAGCACGTTATTTTCCATGCTCATCAATCACACAAACAACCACAGTTACTTTGAAATGATTCAAACATTCTCCAAATCAAAACCGAAAACACAAATTAACTTGTATTCATCCTATATGGCTTGGTTGTAGGTTCTGAGCCATGAGAAAATATAGATGTGAACTTGTAAGAAAGAGAGATGTATAGTGGCGAGAGAGCTAAAAGAAAAAAAAAGTGTGACGTGTGAGATCTATATTGAACACTAAAACATCCATAAGAGCAACCGCATTGAACAGTTTATTGAGGGTTCTACTCTACACGTGTAAATAAAACTAAATAAAAACGAAATTAGTTACACATGTGGCGAGCCCAGGCCCAGAGTCGACTCTCGCCGAAGAGTTTGCAGAGCCGTCTCTACTCTACACGTGTCGCAAGGAGAACGCAGCGCGAGATTAATTTTTGTCGGCCTTTTGTCAATTTTTTTTCTTTCTGTTCTTCGAAAACAAAACTCGTTTTCTCCGTCGTCTCCTCGATCTGAAATCGGAACGAAATCCTCCTTCTGATATCTCTTCTTGCTAAATCTCCGGCGTGTTCGACCTTAATCTCCGATTCCTTCTTGTTCGATGTTCTTCTTCTCCTCCTTCTCTCTCCCTCGTCTGTTTTCTCTTTGTGACCACGTTTCCTCTTCTTCTTCTTCGATCTCCTGCAAGTTTATGCCTTTAAGTTGATTGTTGTGAATTGAACCCTAATTCGGCTGTCTAAAGCGAAAGAGAGAATAAGCATGTGCTCGTATTCCTCCTCTCTTCACTGTATTTTGCGTAAATATCCCATTTGATAAAGTAAGAGTTTTTTTATCTTTCAGATTATGTCTTGAATTGTGATAAAGTTTTGATTTTATTTTATTAATCTTAGATTTGTGTTCAGGTAGTGCGAAAGTGGCTTCTACCAATCCTATTCCCGCCGGCATTAGCAAGGAACATGTTCGAGCTTTTTTTTTGTTCCTTTCCAGAGGTTCTTCATTCTTTGTAAAGCTACGATTTTTGTAACTAGTTAGACAATGGATATTTTAAGTTTTTAGCTGTCTCTCTGTGTCCACATGTAGTGTTAAATCTACATCTTTATTCAGATCTTTGTACCTAGAAGGATCATTGAGATAATTATTTGTTTAAGATAGTTTTTATGGATTGGTGGTGTTCATGATTTTCTCATCGAGGTACAGAGTTTGTTCTGGCTGGTGTTTGTGATTGCAACATTAGCTGCAATGATAGCGAGCCAAGCTATGATCTATTACCTGATTTAAGAGCTCATTTCATTAGTAATTGGTAAAATGACTTTGCTTTGCACGATAATCCAATAAGATTTTTCTGTTTGTGGGTTTGTATAGCCTTATTTCCAGCCTGATTTCTGCAAATCTGTTTGCAATCTGTGTGAATTTGTTGGTTGCTTTGGATACAAGATATTAAGGGTTAATGGACTTGTTCTTTAACTTAGTGATTTGCATTGCTGAAATGAAGATGTTTACTATTGTTTAGTTACATGAGATTTGGGAACTCCGATTGCTATCCCTTCTGTGTTTATCCCCATATGATTTTGGGGTTTTAGATACAGTAGTTTGTTCTGTTTTTGTAAAATTTAACAAACTTTGAAAGAAAAAAAAAATAAAGAACCCCATATTGGATTCTCCAATGAGGAGCTAAAATCACTCAAAATCTTATAAAAACTCTACAATTAAAATATGACTATTTTTAATATAAACAATGTTTAAAGAGCTCCATTAGAGTATGTCCAATGTGGATGCTCTAATAATCACTGTAAGAGCCTCTCACATTTCATTTATATCCTTTAAATAAGGATATTCAGGGCACTTCTAGACTTCCGGTGCTTGGTTCTAGGTTTTGGTTATTTGTTAGCTGTGACTGATTATGGTATGGTAATTCATATAAATCTAGTGTCAATCAACGTACAATGTGTGTCATCCACAAGATCCTCCAAATTCCTTGTGTATTCAAAAGTTTATGGCAAGATGAAACATAGTATCTAAATTAAAATATGGCTGCCAAAAAGCTACTGATGATCATTTAAATTAAGTTTGCTTTTATGCTAAATACTCATTCAACAAGGCTCCCAGTTCCCGTATAAAATGGATTTGTGCTAATAGTAGTATACTAGTAGAGGACCCGCGCAAACGCGCGGTGTGAAGTTGCGGTTTTGTGAAGAAAATTTAAATCCTAAACTCGAGCCCGACCCAAAAACCCTAATAATTTTTTTAAAAAAAACCAAACATTTTTAATATGTCTAGACCCGAAAACCCGAAATCCAAAAAATTCCGAAAACCCTGAACCGAATAAAAAAAAACTCAAAACTTTTTCACCCGAAACCTGAACCCGACCTAAATACTCTAATAAAAATTTTAAAATGCCCAAATTTTTTTAATATGTCTAAACCCAAAATCCAAAAAAATCCCGAAAACCTGAAGTAAACCAAAAAAAACTCGAATCCAAACCGAACATATATTTTAAATAAACCCCGAACAGAAATCCACAATTTTACATTCTCAATTAATAATATAAAGATTAGTAGTGTGATATACTACTATTAGCAGAGTTCCATAGTTTGCAAGTATATTAAGTTTGCTTTTATGCTAAATACTCATTCAACATCTATTTTGACGAAAATACAAAAAAAAAAAAAACAACAAAAAAGGAAAGAGTATTCATTTTTTAAAACGGAACGTAATATCATAGGGAATATCATATGTAAGAACGTAATACAAAAAGCCCTAATCTCTACTGCGGCGTCTGTTTACTTGGAAGAATGACGATGACGACGATAAGCGATCTTCCACCGAAGTTGGTAGGGAAGAAGATACTGAGGAGGGTCCCAATAACATCTTTGGGAGCAGTGCGATCTACTTGCAAACTATGGAACTCTTTATCAAGAGATTGGTTCTTGGGTAAGGCAGCAGTTCCTAGGATTCATGGAGATGGATTTCAAGGTTTGTTCAGTGAGATTTGATCTCTTCAAGGACGAGGACAAGGACAAAGACGACCGTGGCATGGTTGATCTATCTGTAAAGCATGTAGCTCTGTTTGACCAAGTCGAGATATGTAAAGTCTTTTACTGCAAAGGCTTACTGTTGTGCGTCCTCAAGGACATCTCTAGTCTCGTGGCTTGGAACCCGTATTTAGGGCAAACAAGGTGGATCAAGCCCAGAGAAACTTTCCACCGAAATGACAGGTATGCTCTCGGATACGACAAGAAGAACCGCAGCCACAAAATCTTGAAGTTTTTGGATGATGGCCACCCAAGAAACAAGTTCGACTACATGTTTGGGTATGAAATCTACGATTTCAGCTCTGATTCATGGAGGGTTCTTGACGTCACTCCCCACTGGGATATAGAGTATTATCAACGCGGCGTTTCTTTGAAGGGAAACAGCTACCTTTTTTGCTCAGGAGAAAGTAGAAATCGGTGTTGATGATATTGACCTAGAGTTTTCTGAGTTTGAAAACTTTTTAGACCGTCTTGCTGTTCCGTTTCACTCTTACATCGATGAGACTGTGTCACTCGCTTGCGTCAGAGAAGAGCAGCTCGCTGTCCTGTATCAGCGGTGGGATACATTGCTTGAGGTTATGCAGATTTGGGTTACCACTAAGATTGATCCCAACTCGGTCTCATGGAGCAGGTTTCTGAAAGTGGATATGAATCCACTCAGTGGTTTTCAGTTTTTCTATAGAGCTGCGAGCTTCTTCATTGACGAGGAGAAGAAAGTCGCTGTGGTTTTCGATTTTGACAGCAGCGACAACTCCAACAAGACCGTTCGGTACAACGCAGCTTATATCGTCGGAGTTGATGGATACTTCAAGTCTGTGTGTCTCGGAGAAGCTCGGGATCGCTGGTGCCGCCCACTTGTGTGCTCATCTTCGTATCTCCCAAGTTTAGTGCAGATCAACAACCAACGGCGCAAAAGGAAGAAAAGAGATGTTTAGTTTGCCTTTTATTTGTTTCTTGCATTCTACGCAACTATTAGTTTTGTATCTTTATTAATCCTAATGATTAAACAAACATTCGCCTTTTTTACATGTTCCTTTATAACAAACTGCTCTTGGAAGAATTTTATACTAGTAGTCCAACACAAGACATTTTTACTACATCCCTCTCTTGCTCACTCATGGGATTTGTGTAATGATCCATTTTATGGGTCTTGGGGCTTGTTGGTGTCAACATGTAGTAGAGTTCAGGGCTGATTTCACACGATTAAATACAGTCATTTTTTGGGATAAAATCCTCCACCTTTATTTTGTTTTTTACACAGTTTGTGCTTTTTCTAGTTGTATTAACATTTTGACATGATAGTCAATTACTTAATTATTCCTCTGAATAAAGCTATTGCTTAAAGCCCATTCTTTCATCTTGATTGGCTCAAAGTTTCATCTTTCATTTTTCATTTCATTCAACTGTTTCTTCATTCTTATAGTTTTCGTTCACTAGTCGAAACTTAAACCAAAAGACAAATCCAATTAAGAGTAATTCCATGAAAAATCATCCTTCTAAAGACACATTTTTTTGTTTTAAAACATTTTAAAAGAAAAATCAGATATTTAATTCATCGGATTAATGGGTTTGACGGAGCAAGGGGTTTGAAAAATAGTGTAATACATTGGAGATGCTCTTATATGTGTGAGAATGTTCTTACCGTGTTATTATCATAATCTTTACAATAATCATACTTTCGATCTCACTTTTATAGGCGGATCATTTTATTTCTCGTTTTTGTGCAGACTTTTGTTTTTCGTGTGTGCTTGAAAGTCTCGATTTTTTGTTTGGTTTCGAAACGTTGTTGTCATGATCTTCAAACCCAATTCGTCACTCCATTTTCATTGGAAACGAATAAATTTGTCATCGCGAATTTTCAGCACTCGATTTGCTATTTGATTTTTCCTTGGCATTTAGCCATTTACTCGCCGTTTAAATCTTCCTCGTCTCTGTTTCGAGGAAATCGAATCTTAAAAATATCTCCTTTCGAAAGGTCAACCAATCACAAATCCAAAAGTCTATGAATGTTGGTGAAACTCTGATTATTGCTATATCGGTGTCGTCGATGCATTTAAAACCCCAAGAATTTTGGGTTGATGCATTTAAACCCCTGTTCCCCAATTCTGAAGATTACAGCTTTAAGACCTTCCTTATTCCACCCTTCTCACCTCAGATTTCTTGCTCCCAATCCACTCCATTCTTCGTTTTCCACCAGATTTTCCGAGAATTGTTTCAGTTTCTCGGGAAATCAGCGGTCAGAAATATCCAGTCGCCGTCTTCTCTGCTTTTCACCGGAGCCTCTGCCAAACTCGGTACTGTCTCTCTCACTTCCCTCAAAGTTATATTCGATTTTCTGGGTATCTTTGTTTTCATATGTTCTCGTCGGTTTCGCAAATCAATTCAGTTTTTTTTTTGGCAAGTTTCTTCAGTGTAATGATTTTGAAACACAAACAAAAATGCGGCCTTTCTTGTTCGTTTTGGTGTCTACACAATCTATCATCAAAAAAGTTCGGGGCTTTAGAGGTTCTGAAAGTCTGATCCTTTTTGTCTGTAGATCTATTCTTTAGGTGTGAATTGAGAGAGAAATGGCAGGAGGTGAGAGGAGACGCAGAAGGAAGAAGTTGCAATTAAGCAAGCTATTCACAATAAGATCACCTGCCAAAGCTTGTTTCAAGCCAGCACATTCTCAAATCGGACGATCTGGTTTCTCTCGTGTGGTTTACTGCAACCAGCTTGATTCCCCTGAAGCTGACTACTGCGACAACTACGTCAGGACCACCAAGTACACTCTCACCTCTTTCCTCCCTAAATCACTCTTTGAGCAGTTCAGGAGAGTCGCCAATTTCTACTTCCTTGTCGTTGGGATCTTGTCTTTCACTCCTCTCGCCCCTTATACTGCTGTGAGCGCCATTGTTCCCCTCACTTTCGTCATTCTTGCTACTATGGTTAAAGAAGGCGTAGAAGATTTGCGCAGGAAACAACAGGTGCTACTTTGTTTCATTTTGCTCTTGACTGATTGGTTGCTGATTGATTAGAGTTCTAAGAAGTGGTACTGAGATATTTACTGAACAAAAAGCCTTACTTTCTGCATATGTTTGGAAATTTTCATGCTTTTTAGGATGTTGAGGTGAACAGTAGAAAAGTAGGAGTGCACAGAGGCAATGGGAATTTCGAGCTTACGGAGTGGAAGACACTAAGAGTTGGGGATATATTGAGGATAGAGAAAAACGATTTCTTTCCGGCAGACCTTGTCCTGCTTTCTTCTAGCTACGAGGATGCTGTTTGCTATGTAGAGACGATGAACCTTGACGGGGAAACGAATCTGAAACTCAAGCAAGGACTAGATGTGACCATGTCACTGCGTGAAGAGATTGACTTCAGGGACTTTGAGGCTTTTATCAAATGCGAGGATCCTAATGCCAACTTGTATTCGTTTGTGGGTACGATGGAGCTTAAGGAAACAAAGTATCCTCTCTCGCCACAACAGCTTCTTCTAAGGGGATCAAAACTCAGGAACACTGACTATATCTATGGAGCTGTTATCTTCACGGGTCCTGATACGAAAGTTGTCCAGAACTCAAGAGAGCCTCCGTCAAAGAGAAGCATGATTGAGAGGAAGATGGATAGGATTATATACCTCATGTTCCTTCTGGTGGTTTCATTGGCGTTTTTTGGGTCTGTTTTGTTTGGAATATCAACGAGAGAAGATTTCGAGAATGGCATCATGAAAAGATGGTATCTGAAACCGGATGAATCCAGTATCTTCTTTGACCCAAAGAGGGCCCCTATTGCTGCAATATTTCACTTTCTTTCGGCGCTGATGTTAAACAGTTATTTCATCCCTATATCATTGTATGTGTCAATAGAGATTGTGAAAGTTCTTCAGAGCGTCTTCATCAATCAGGACATCCATATGTATTACGAGGAAGCTGACAAACCAGCACACGCACGTACTTCTAATCTGAATGAAGAGCTTGGGCAAGTGGGTACGATTCTTTCAGACAAGACGGGGACATTGACGTGCAACTCCATGGAGTTTATCAAGTGTTCTATTGCTGGGACAGCCTATGGCCGTGTTCTTACAGAGGTGGAGATGGCTGTGGGTAGGAGAAAAGGTGCTCCTTTGGTGGATCAGAGCAATGGCGCTGTTGCTGCAGAACCGGCAGTGAAAGGATTCAACTTTAGAGATGAAAGGGTAATGAATGGAAACTGGGTCAAGGAAATGGATGCTGTTGTCATTCAGAAGTTCTTTCGTTTGTTGGCAGTGTGTCATACAGTCATACCTGAAGTGCATGAAGTTACAGGAAAGATCTCCTACGAGGCTGAATCACCGGATGAGGCAGCATTTGTTATTGCAGCAAGGGAGCTTGGGTTTGAATTTTTTGTTCGAACTCAAACAACAATATCTATTAGAGAGCTAGACCTGACCACTGGCGGTCGAGTTGAAAGGTTTCTCCATATTCTCTTCTTTATTGTATGCCGTCGAAAGCTTGTTTCTGTTGCTTACTCTTGTGTGAATGGTTTTCCTTTTGCAGGCTGTATAAAGTCCTTAACGTTCTTGAATTCAATAGCTCAAGGAAAAGGATGTCAGTAATAGTGCGGGATGAAGATGGCAAACTCCTTTTACTTTGTAAAGGGGCTGACAGGTATGCGATCCCGACTTTAGAAACTCATATATAAATCTCTTCTCGAACTTAGTTTCAACTTCTTTTTATCGTGCAGTGTCATGTTTGAAAGACTTTCCAGAAACGGTAGTAAGTATGAAGAGGAAACTCGGGACCATGTGAACGAGTATGCTGATGCTGGATTGAGAACTTTGATACTTGCCTATCGTGAACTCGACGAGAAAGAATACGAGGTGTTCACTGAGAAAGTCAGTGAAGCCAAGAATTCGGTTAGTGCTGATCGAGAGGCACTGATAGATGAAGTCACGGAGAGTATTGAGAAAGATTTGGTTCTTCTTGGAGCTACTGCTGTTGAGGATAAACTCCAAAATGGGGTAAGTTGCTACTGTACATAACCAATTTTCAGATTGGTAAACTTCCTGAGTCGAACAAGGAAAGTGATATTCGTTTCTCATTCTCTCTCTTGCCTTTCTTCCAGGTCCCTGATTGCATTGATAAGCTTGCTCAAGCAGGAATAAATATTTGGGTTTTGACTGGAGACAAGATGGAGACTGCTATCAATATTGGGTATTTATTTCTTGGTACCTGATAAGATTTACTCTTGAGCCTTCTGTATACATTCTTATTCACTCTCTGAATTTACTTGTGTATGTACATCTTTGACAGCTTCGCTTGTAGTTTGCTCAGACGAGACATGAAGCAGATCATAATCAACTTGGAGACCCCTGAAATCCAGCAGTTGGAGAAATCCGGAGAAAAAGATGTCATTGCAGAGGTGTTGAATTTTTTTGGAACACTGATTTGATGGGGAGGGAATAATATAACCAGTGAATACGTAACTGAAAGATACCATGTGGCTATTTTCTTGCAGGCTTTGAAAGAAAATGTAATGCGTCAGATAATAAATGGAAAGGCTCAGCTAAAAGCGTCTGGTGGAAAATCTGAGGCTGAGGCTTTTGCGTTAATCATTGATGGGAAATCACTTGCTTATGCATTGGAGGATGATATAAAATACATCTTTCTTGAGCTGGCCATTGGCTGTGCCTCAGTGATTTGCTGCCGTTCATCACCAAAACAGAAAGCACTGGTCAGTTATTGCTTTATCTTCTGTGAAACTGCAGATAATCAAGTGGCGGCGTAGCATTTTTGACAAAAAGTCATATTGCACAGGTGACAAGACTAGTCAAAACTGGAAGCGGTCAGACAACACTGGCAATTGGAGATGGTGCAAATGATGTTGGAATGCTTCAAGAAGCAGATATAGGCGTTGGGATCAGTGGGGTGGAAGGAATGCAGGTTCTACAAAGAATCACAAAACAACCATTACCAGCTTTTGTTGGAAACTTTTTCCTTGTTTAATCCTGTTAGTTTTGCAGGCTGTAATGTCCAGCGACATTGCCATTGCTCAGTTTAGATATCTGGAGCGCTTGTTACTCGTCCATGGACACTGGTGTTACAGACGGATCTCAAAAATGGTAGCGAGTTTGGTTTAACACTGACCTTTTGTCTCATTATTCTTTCAGCTGATCCAGTTTTCTCAATACTTGTGTTTATCTCATATGCAGATTTGCTACTTCTTCTACAAGAACATCACATTTGGTTTCACTCTCTTCTTATATGAGGCATACACATCATTCTCAGCGACACCTGCCTACAATGACTGGTATCTATCTCTCTATAGCGTCCTCTTCTCGTCTCTTCCTGTTATTTGCTTGGGCATCTTCGACCAGGATGTCTCTGCACGGTTTTGTCTCAAGGTATAATATAAGAGCTGCTTAATATTTTCTCCGGTATAGTGAGTTTCTTCACTCATAGTCCTGCTTTGTTTGCTGTCACAGTTCCCCGTTCTGTACCAAGAAGGTGTACAGAACCTCCTCTTTAGTTGGCGCCGGATTCTCAGCTGGATGTTCCATGGCTTCTGCAGCGCAATAATCATCTTCTTCCTCTGCACAACCTCTCTTGAATCTCAAGCTTTCAACCACGAAGGGAAAACCGCAGGGAGAGATATCGTAGGAGGAACAATGTACTCATGTGTGGTGTGGGTCGTGAGTTTGCAGATGGTATTGACGATCAGTTACTTCACAGTGGTCCAACATGTCGTTGTTTGGGGATCCGTGGTTGTATGGTACCTTTTCCTGACGGTGTACGGGTCCCTTCCAACAAGACTATCTACAGATGCGTATATGGTCTTTGTTGAAGTTCTTGCGCCCGCGCCTTCTTACTGGATCACAACTCTCTTTGTGGTGCTATCTACAATGATGCCTTACTTCATCTTCTCTGCTATCCAGATGCAGTTTTTCCCAATGTCCCATGGGACCATAAAGCTGATTACATACGAGGATCAGTGCAATGACTCTGTGGAGTTAGAAATGGTGAGACAAGCATCAGTAAGGCCTGCATTGGTTGGTTTCACAGCTAGAATAGAGGCCATAAAGAGATCGGTCATGAGATCTCATCAGCCACATTCTTGACAAGTGGTATGATGAGTTTTTTTTTTTTGGGTTAGTTATATTGCAGGGAGAAGTGGTAGATCATTACAACGTACAAGACTAGAGGAACAAGGATCTTTTTTAACTGGTTTCTGTAGCATAAAGGTGTAAATGTTGATTATTGCAGAACAAGAATTTCACGGAGTTTGTATGTCAAGAAACATCTAATTATATTGGAAAACAGTTGACGATTGTACATGAGTTAAGATCAGACTAAAGAAAGATTTACAATATTACAGCCTTGTTCTTGGTTACCTTTCTCTTCTTCTTGTCTTTGTATACTCACGTTAGAGGAAGATAAGAGCAAAATAAGATTGTACTTGCATCTCTTTCTTACGATCCTTTTCCGGATTCTTGATTCAATAACACAACACGAATGCGGTGAGAGAGATTGTACTTGCATCTCTGTGTTTTTCGTTGCTATTTGAAATAGAGAGAGTCAGAAGAATCTTCATGGCGCCAGAAGCTTCCAAACACAAACTCTTTGTTCATCGACAGATCCTGCAACATTCCTTCAATATCTTCAATGCAATTAAATCTTGATGACGAGCCTTCATCAAAGGCAAACCCATTTCCATACCAATGCTCCAATTTGACATCCTCCTCCATTGTTGGTTGCAAGGTTTTCCCACATCTTCTCTTCACAAACAACTTCTTCATCTTCTGGACAAGTTTACGAGGCACCTTAGAGAAAACGAAGACACTGACTTGTAACACAAGGCATTGGCAGCAGCATGACAGGACAACACAGTCCGCTGCAAATGCACCACAATCTTCTTCCATTTCTCTGAATATCCACAGACTTCAAGGATCACAGAGATTATATATAAAATGATGTGTACGTCCACATGGAGATTGAGACATATTTACCGGCATATTTAGGAATCTTGACGTCAAAAGAACTGTAGCTTTTTAAATCCTTGTTCCCTCTGATACTATTCCCTAACATGAAGTTGGTTCATAGAAAGGATAAAACAGTCTTCTCACATCTATGTATTTGGCAAATCTAAGTCAATTGACCAGATGTATCATGTGACACACGCTATGAAAAGTTTGGTGATAATATTAGTATAAACATTGAGAGGACATGAGAAGAAGCAAGTTACATCACAAAAGTAAAACATTGATGCAGAGGTGACTTCATCTAAGAAAATGAAACCTCTTTTACGACCGACATCATATATTACTCATTGTCCTTGTCTCACCTTTTTGTTTTTCCACAGATTCGGACAAGTCGAACAAGAGGACATGATATTTGAGGTTTGTGGCAAACTTACTGTGCATAATCTATGCGATGCGTCGTTCATCATCATGATGATCCCTTAACTACCAATAGTTTCAGAGAAAGATGCAAAAGAGGGTATAAATTTGAAGTTGGTAACATTTCAGAGTAATCAAGAAAGGTTCTGTTATGAGATATATATATATATCTTGGAAAAATAATGAGTCTCTAATGAGTTATGTTTCTGATATTTACACGTTTTCGTCTCTGCTATTGTAAACATTATGAGTGAAAAAATCTGTACTGTAGTTTTGGCTGCCAAAAGCCATTCTTCTAAACAATCTGATTTCTGCAGACTGCTCTGCTGAGTTGATGATCTCGCTTTCGCCTAGTCTCATCCCGTTGGTGAGGTCTTCCTCAGCTAGACTGTCAAAAGCTCTCACAATCTGTCAAAAGTTTACAATTATTAGAGCTTGTTATTATGTGAATTTTCGATCTTGAAAGTATCAAAGTATAAAGAAAGTCTAGTTTTTTTCTTTTTGAAGAAGAATGATATATGTACCTGACTCATTCGAGGTCTCTTTGCAGCTGAATGGCGAATACAAGCAGCCGCTGCTTCAATCATTCTAAACATTTGAGCGCCAACATAGTTTCCTCCAAGCTTGGGATCTGCTAAAGCTGTAAACTCTTCCGTTTCCATGGCATGACTAAGCAAAGGACGGGCCTGACACATTTTTCAACTTCATCAAACGTTAGAATAAAGAAATAGTTTCATTCTCAAAAGTTTCAAATGCTTTTTTTTTTAACGCCATACCCATTCAACAAGGCTCTCATCTCCCAAAGGCTGTGATGTATCAACGGGCTTACGTCCAGTGATCAACTCAAGTAGAACAACCCCGAAGGAGAAGACATCTGATTTCTCGGTTAGTTTGCCACTTGATGCATATTCAGGAGCCATGTAGCTGAAAATCATTTACCAATAACTTTGTTAGATGCATGATTTGCAACATATACAGAAACAAGTTTTGCTCCCGAGCAATGGTATACAGGACCTACCCGAATGTTCCCATAACCCGAGTTGTAATGTGTGTGTTACAGTCGAGAGCTAGCTTTGCAAGACCAAAGTCAGAAACCTACACAACCAGAGATTATTGACCATTAAAAAACTCATGATCTTAACTATCAGCAGCCTTGCAGATTCTGAAGAGCAGAGCAGATGAATGTATTACCAGAGCGTGGAAGTTATCATCTAAAAGAATGTTGGCTGATTTGATGTCCCTGTGTATGATACGAGGATGACCTGACAATTTAACCATAAAAACAACATCAGAAATATATTTGATATGGAACTTTTTTCTATATAATACGGAACAGTTGCTATAACCTACAATCTTCATGGAGATAAGCTAATCCACGAGCCGCACCAGCAGAGATTTTAACGCGTGTTGCCCAGTCCAGACCAGGAGTTCCTGCAGCTAAAGACCACATGAAGCATGTTAAGATAGTTTCAAGATACAATGGTTTCGTCTTTATGAGAATGTGTGTCTTGACTTTAAATCTCGCTTACCATGAAGGTGGAAGTAGAGGTTGTTGTTAGAGACATAATCATAAATGAGCAACCTCCTGTTCTCTGAGATGCAGTATCCAACCAAAGAAAGCAAATTCCGGTGATGCACTCTGCTAATGGTCTCAACCTCAGCTTTGAACTCTCGGTCACCTTGTCCTCCACCTAATTTCAACTGCTTCACAGCCACCACTCTTCCATCTTGCAAAGCCCCTTTATATACACGACCAAACCCGCCTTCACCCAATAGATTCTCATCCGAGAACCCATTTGTTGCTATGACAAGGTCTTCGTACGAGAACAGTTCCTTCGACTGACCAAAGCCACCAGGTTCTGACTGTGAGAAAAACGTTCGGTTGCTCGAACGATTTCCCACTAGAGGCGCGGAAGAGTTTGTCTTCAATAACGCTGAATCTGCACAGCAGAGATGAACAATCAAGAAATGCTGATAAACAAGTATGCTTATGCATAGCAATATCCATCAATACATACAAGGAGACTTGTTCTTGCCATGCTTGATTAACCAAATGTAAGAAGAATCATATTCCTAATGAAACTGAGGAGACTAAAGTTAGTTGTAAAATGAACCTGATCTTGGGGAGGAATCCAAAGGAGAAGGCATAACATAGCCACCTCCAGTGGCAGAAAGCTTCTTTTTCCGTCTCTTCAAGCACAAGAAAACAAGTCCAAGAAGACTAAGCAGCACAAGGACCACACCGATACTTACACCGACGACAGCCGCTGAACCAATACTTGAAGAAGGGCTGGAAATATTTATCACGGTAGGAGGAGTAGGGCTGTTTGGAGATGGGTTATCTGGCCCTGCTCCAGATTTTTGAGGAGGAGAAGGCGGTGATGAAGGCAATGTCGGCGGTGATGAAGAAGAATTCGAAGGTGAAGGAGCTGTTGGACTTGGCTTGGGAGGTGAGTGAATTTCCTCTGGTGGTGGAGGTGAAGAATTCACGGGACGTTTTGGATCTCGTGGAGGAGGAGGAGAAGGAGAAGGAGGTGAATTAGCAGGAGGTTCTGGAACTCGTGGAGGAGGTGAATCAGCAGGAGGTCTTGAATCTGGTGGAGGAGGAGGAGGACGTTTAGAATTTGGTGGAGGAGGAGGACGTTCTGGATCTCGTGGAGGAGGAGGTGACTGAGTAGGAGGTTCTGAGGCTGGTGGGGAAGGCGGAGGAAGTGATGGCGGAGGTGGAGGTGAATGTAACGGTGGGTCTAACGTGGGTGATGGAGGTGGATTTACAGGAGGGTCTAATGCAGGTGGTGGAGGAGAGATTTCCGGTGGCGGAGCTGATAGTGGGGGTGGTGAAATGGCGGGAAGTTGAGGAGGAGAGCTCTCAGGTGGTGGTTGAGTAGGAGGAGGAGCTCCACTTGGCGGAGGTGGTGAGGTAGAAGGTTGTGGTGGTGGGGATGGTAAAGGAGTCGCCGGAGGAGGAGGAGATTGAGCTGGAGGGTTTGGGATCTCCGGTGAATTGCCATTAGTGGGCTCTCTCGTTGGAGAAATGTCATTATCACCGGGAGACGAAGGTTTAGTTGGAGGCGACGCCATTGGTGGAGGCGCTGAGACCTCCTCCGTAGCCGTAGGAGGCTGAATCGGTGTTGCCATCTAAATCAAAAGACCAAATTCTGACATTTTTCACCGAAATTCCCAGACTCGAGTGTGACAGTAACCTTAAAGCACCAAACTTTACCAACTAAAACTACACACCCAAATCGTGAAACGAACTTCCGAGCAAAACCCAGATCACCAATTATGCTTCCCAAATCAAAATTCCGGATAACTGAGATTACCTGACAAATCCAAAAAGCTTCAGATCTGTGTAAAAGCTTTTCCTTCTGCTAGTCAAAACCCAACTCTGGAGTTAGCCATTAAAGCCTAGCTAGTGGCCAAGTGAGTAAATTGTCTCCATCTCTCGTTTCTCTTGTGCTTGCGCTTCCGCAGCAAACAAAATTTTGTTCCTGAAGCTTACAAATGTCAAGCCGTTTCTGGGGAAGAAAATTGAAACATCTTAAGAACCAAATGTCGGATGATGAATCAAAAATATATTGTGGGGATCAAACCGGTAGGAAAATAAGCAAATTCGTAAGGAAGTTACAGAATTAAGACGAATCAATTATTATATTTGTTTATGCATCATAAAGAAAAAAAAGAATGCTTTACTGCAACGTCTAATCAACGGTCAACATAATTTAATAATTTTGTTTTATTTACTAACTTATTTTTTCCCCAAATAAAGAAAAAAAGAACGAACGCCTAGTCTTTCGAGAGAGTATTATTTTACATTTTTACTTAACAATTTATTTGAAAGTCTTTACCAAATAATGGTATATTTAGTATAGTATTTAAAAAAAAAAAACATGTACATAAATTGTTAAATTTCTTAAATTATTTTAAACTCGTAGGGGATACTATTCACAGCTGTCAAAAAAAAGGTTAAAGTTTTCAACCAGTATTGACCAGCAAATATACTATCATTTCATAATAAAGTTTTTGACTAAATTCGCCACATTTGTCATTTGGTACATACATGTGTAGATTTACCAGAACGTATATGCGAAATCTCGAGGCATATAATTGAATACGTACATTAATATAATGTAAACGAAAGCGGTCAGAGCACAAGATTTTTTTTTCCACGTAAAATCGTTGATTCTGAGTTCGTTATACTTATCATCGTTATAAAATTGGTATATTTACAGTAAAAGAAATGTAAAGAAATAATGCAAGTGAAAGAAATAAAGTATCTACTATGGTATAGCCGCATGGGTAAATAATAACTCAGTTTGTATAGCTAGTACATAATATCTGTACGATTGGTGCTGAAAATTATGTAAAATCCCAGAAAACAGTAGTTCACTCGTTGTTGGATATTAAAATTGTGAAAGGGACTAAGGGTGTAAATGGTAACCGAGGAATTCTGCTGAATGCGGAATCTGGCTGAATTAATTGATGAATAGTTGCGGAATCTGGCTGATTATTTAGTAATGTGAATGGTAACTGCTGAATGTTGCTGAATGCGGAATAAATATCTAACAAATTAGTTGTGTAACAGTATAACAAAATATTTACCTAGTTGAATTAATAAAATAATCAAAAACTTATATTTGTAAAATAACCAAATAATAGGTAAATAAAAGAAATTGTTTAAATTATATTAAACTTAGATTTTTTTAAAAAAATCTATAATTGATCTAATTTATAACTAAATTTATTTTAGACTAAAAGTTTTTTTATCTAATATATACTTCATATCCGGATATGTTTATTTAGTCATTTTTATCACATGAATCCACATCCATAAATCTATTTTTTGAATCCGTAAATTTATTATCAAGATTCAATTTCGGACAAAAACCCGAATATTTGAAGCTGATTGAATTAGATGCTGGATAATTTAAATTTAAATTCATACTCAAATTAATCTATAATTATTCTTAAATTTGTTTTTAGTATTTTATTACAACAACTACTGTTATTAGAGATTAACTAATATTATATTTTTGTAAAAATATAAAATTTAAAGAATCGTTGCATCCCCTTTTTGATTTTCTTTTATATGTTATAACTGTAACAGCTCTCAACTCATTTAAAAATTGTCAAAATATTAGTTTAGATTGCCACGTATCTAGATTTTATACTTAAAGTCATTTACATGACTTAAATAATACAGCTGAATTGAGACTTGTAGTGGGCCCAAGCAAATCATGGTGTTTCAACTTTAACTATTATTAAGCAGAATTTCATTCCACATTCCACATTCCACAATTCTTTGCAACTGGTGTATAACTTTATTTTTAAGTTGGAATTCAGCAGAATTCCTCAATTCAGCTGGTACCATCTGAGAGAGAACTTTGGGACCATCGGGTATGTTGTCTTACATAAAGAAATACGAAAAAGATGAAAAAAGTAGCAATGTGGATCCCAATTATTTGTACAGTGTGACTTTATGTATATTGTTTTTGATTCTTTTTCTATCACCATTTTTTGTAATCTTACATGTCATTCTCCATCTTTACTCACTTGTATGGTTTTAGACTTTGAAGCAAGTCCAATGGTGGAGTATTTAAAATCCAAATCAGACCAGCCGATTTAACTCGGATAACCAATATATATGTAGATAAACAACTAACTGCGCTATTAATGTTTCTTAATATAATGAGGGAGCAAATAACAAAAATTCCATATTCTGCACTCTGTAGTCTTAACAAAAACAAAATTCACTCTGTCGTAAAAGAGCTAGTGGAAGATCATGCTGGCAAAAATTGTGTCGGTTGAATAAAATATACATGAGCCTCTGTAAAACGGAATTGCAAGCCCTGTTCGCCATCATTGCACAGAAGAAAAAGAGGAAGAAGAAGAAGAGAGAGAGAGAGAGAGAGAGAGAGAGTTCAGTGCCTAACACATGGCGACATTTGGTGTCTCCAGTTAGATTTTTTCCGGAATCTGTAGTTGTTGACTCTCTTCTAACATTCATTACTTATTAGTGACAACGACACACACGCCTTAAGGTGGGCTCCGAGAAGTGCATTTATTTATTACAACAAAGACTATGTGATCTGTCTCAATTGGATCGCGTGGATCTACATAAAAATCAGATAAAGCACCCTCGATTTAAGATTTTTAATATTAAAAAAACTCTGATCCACTTTTCTCAGCAAAAAGCATATCCGAGCTCAAATGCCTAAAAGTTTGGTACTACCAACTAGCAACCAAAAGGGCAAGTTTCAAATGAGGACTTTGCGTTCGTTGCACAACAAAATTAAACGAAATCACCTTTTGGTTCAGACGAGCCTGCTTAGTTTACTTTAGGACCTACTCTGCAGAGTCTACAGTTGATAGTTGAAGGAGGTACAAAGATGCAACTCCATTTACTATCTCTGTCTGTTTGTCTGTTGACATTTTCTCCTTGCGTTGATCTCAGCGGCCCAGCTCTTTCCAATTTCGGTTTGAAACTTGCCTGACATTTGAAATTGGAGCAAATTTATATGATGATTTGACTTAGCGTCTAAAAAGTAAAAAAACTGTATCGGATGCGTTATCTACCTGCTGTTGATATGAAAAACTCGTCGAGCACTTTCCCGTGTTCTGCCACAATGATCAAACGTTGAGTCAGATTTCTCGGGACGTAAGAGGAATAAACAAGCACAAGTGATTCAAAAGATAAAGAACATAGATTTACCTGATTCATATTCTAGTGCCTGGAGAATCATCTCAACCTTATAAAAGACAAGAGTCAGTGTAATCCATGTTACTTGTAACTATTAAAGCCATCGATGGATGCAAACTCAAAACTCATGAATTTACCTTATCAAAGTCTTTTACAAGATTTGCCTCTAACGAAGCATTATTCTCATACTCCAGCCAAAGTTCTGTGATCTCCTCCGCTGCATGTTGACATTTGGCTTATGAATTAGTGTTCTGCAAACCAAAACATTAGTAGATGACAAGAGCAAAGGCGTATATACCTCTCAGGCCACCACCAAGAACTTTGCACATCTCCTTTAAAGCCGCTGTCTCTCTCCTATTCTTTTCTTCCTTAGGCACACCATCAGATGGGGTAATATCTCCAACAATAGCTGTTCAGAAGCCAGTCAGAGTTTGAGGCTTTGTCGATTTGTAGGTTTTTATGTTGCAGAAGAAGAGCATCAATAATTCGAGAGAAAGAAAGCAAATGTAATCAGCTCTTAACACAATGTTTAGTTCCGTGTCCATAGAAAATGACAACTTCACAAACGAATTCAACTACATCTGTTATATATCCTACCCTACTCGGGCATTTGAAACTAAACAATTTTCTATCATCCAAACCACCCTATCTAATAGAAGAGGTCAGCTCATATAGTGAATAAAAAGGCGAGGAAATAAACTGAGCCTTATATTGGGAAACAAGGATCAAATGTGTATTTACCTTCGGCGATGTCATGCACAATTGCCATTTTAATACACCTGTTCAAAATGTCAAGAAAAAAGGAGGAAGATGGAGAAGGATCCAGTAAGTTAGAGCCACAAAACAGGGGAATTCATTTTTCTATAGTTGGACAACTCGAGTAGTAAATCACGTAAAAATCAACTGTTCATTCAACTTTATGAACGTGTCTGAATCAAATGACATATATATTTATGATAAGCATAGCTAAACCCTGAAGCATAATAACCAATTTAAGATTAATAGTGGTTTTAGAGCACATCTTTTGTAATTTTGACTTCAGTAACTTCACCACACTAGCTGCTCACGTTCTTTCGTTTAACTCCAGAACATAAACACTACACCCTGAGTTCCACGAATATGCCATCTCCCTGGCATTAAAAGTCCACAACAAGTCCTAGTCACTACCACTACCAGCCGATCAACTAGTTCTCCGTTTCTCCTTAATACCCGCACTATGATAGAAACTATCAATTCTTAAAAGAGAAACGTATAAATATAAGCAGCCCCCCCCCCCACTGAGCTCTAGAGGTCTTTTATCACACACATAGACAAAATTTATGTATACAAATACAACAGACATTCCAGAATGCATCGTATAATCTACACGATGACTTTCTCTGTCATCTCAAAAACTTAAAGGCAAACACTAACCTTTCTCTATTAACTCCTGCAAGATCACCAGCTATCAGTGCCATTAGAGCCATACGGTACATGTGATCAGCAATTGATTCAGGTCCATTGATCCCCTGATTAATCCACCCTTTCCTCTTTGTTGTCTACACAAGAGCGCACCCAAAAAAGTTCACTTATCTAATTTAAGTAACTCTATCTAACATTGCAGAGCTCCAAGTTCAAAATTGAAAGACACTCTCAGCAAATGAATAGCACATAATGCAGATGCAGTTCAATATCAATCCATGCATCGAGCCAACCAAAAGAGAAACCCAAAGGAGGAACCGTAGTTCCGATTCCGGAATCGATTTAATCTTAATGCGGCTCCACACAGACGTACCTTGAGTCGATGGCACAACGTTAGAAAATCGATCGAAGATGAAACAGAAGAGGCGGAAGCGACATGTTTCGTGGATTCCATGGAGCTAAACCCGTCAGAAACAGGTTTCTGGCACCGGACGGCGACGATCGCCGAGCTCAGAGTGGGATTTCCGAGGAAGAGGAATTTCCTAGAGGCGCAATGAAGCGGACGGAGTGTCGATCGGCTGAGAAAAGGCCGGTTCAGCGGCGGTGCAATACGTGTAGCTGGACTAGTCACCGCCATAGATGGAGTCGGAAGGATTCTCCGTCCTTTTTTTTGGTTCTCCTTTTGAGTAGAGAGTAGAGACGACAAGCCGATTGTTCTGCGTCGGGTCGGGTTTCTTTTACCCGTATACGTTGTGACGTCAGCGACCAACAGAGTTCGGCCCAATGACTTCAACGGGCTTAAACTTTGTGGACGGATTCGAAAGGATAAATTAAAGAAAATGTCTTAAAAACAAATCCAACATTTCAAAATAGTATACTATTTTAGTTGGGTTTTACTATTAAAAAATCTCTAAAAACATTGTTAAAGACATTCAAATGCAAGTACAATTACATGAGAAATAAAATAATTTTAAGAATTATATATTACCTACAAAACAAAGCTCAAATAGAAACAGATGAGGTAAATTAATCAAATCATAATCATTTCTAAGCAAAAATGTAGTTAATTTGTATTTAGCTATAATATTGAAAACCCAATTTAAATATACGGGTGTTATGGGTAATTTTAGGGGTTTATGTCTAATATTTCAGATTTTAGGGGTAAGTTTAGCTTGAAATCTATTCAGATTTAAGATTTAAGCTTATAAGTAGAGAAAATTGTTCCTAGTTTTATAAAAATAAACTAATTTTCTTATAGTGATACCAAATTGAAAATATTTTTCATACTTATTCCATATATTGACGTCACAACTATAGTCTCATATATGATGCCAATAAAAAAAATTGATTCTAGTTGTGTTTGAAAACAAAAAGTTTTCTTCAGTACTTTTTAACAAGGTGGTTGTCCCGCACCTTGTGCGGGTACAATATTTTTTAAATACAATTATTAATTAAAGATTTAAATAATATAAGTAGTACAACTTTTTATTGTATTCATCGTTTTTGTTTTCGCAAACTTCTTATTTTTGTAATCTTGAGGTGTCTTATTTTTATCTTCTCTTTCTTGTTCTTCTACGTAATATTCTTCATTTGTTTTGGAATTTTCTTCACATTCCATTATTTCTTCTTTCCTTTCTTTTTCCTCATGTTCGACTTTTCTTTTTCTTTTCTAAATTTTTCATCTTCTTTTTCACTGTTTTCTTTTCTTTTACTTATGTATCTATTATGTCTTGTTTGTGTCTTGCATATCACCTACCAATTCATTTCGATAGTTAAAATTTTCAATATTTTTGAAATAGATTCTATCTTTATATAGTTGAGGTCTTTTAAAAATTTATTAGTTTTGTTATCTTTCAATTCTGGATTTTCTTTAGTTGTTTTAGTTTTTTTTTCTATTTGTGAATGTAATTTTGAAAGTAGATATAAATTTCAAATAAATGATTTTTTTATTATGAAATTCTTCTGTAATAATTCAAGTTTTTTTAAAATACACCAAAAACTAAACCCTACCCCATCAATATAAACCCTACACCCTAAACCCAAACCCACAGTGTAACACCACCCCCTAAATAACCCAAACCCCACATTGTAACACCACTACCAAATAACAACCCCCCCCCCCCAATCCGCACACCTAAACCCACATTTTACAAAATCTTTTTAGATAAGTTTATTCAAATTAGGTTTAGCTTGTGCGGGGCTTCAAACCTAATATAAGATAAAAAAGCTATTTAGCTTCAAATATTTTCCACTAAAACTTTGGGCTATAAATATGTAGAAATATATCCGTCCACATTATTATATGGCATTGCTTCTGGTACTCTCCTTTTCTTGTTGGTGGGGAGTAAATCCGGATTTTAGTTAAGAGAGTTAATCGGATTTTTTGGTTGTATGGACCCCATTTGTCGCAAATTTTTATATTAGACAGAGTATATAACAACTTTTTTATGTGCTATTACTTTTTTCCCCTAAACTCATCATTTTACTGATTTCTCAGACATTGTGCTCTTACTTTTTTTCAGTCATTAATATTTCAAACCAATACTAGCTCTTTTTTCAATATTTTATATAAACACAAATTCTGGCAGCTTATTCGCTTATTAAAATTGGTGTGAAGTTATATTTCATCAATTTCAAATATGAAAAGGCACTACTATAATTAGAAAGCCCCTAACACATGATGTTGCTCTTTCAGTTTATTGATTTCCTTAATTAGGATATCCGGTTGTAGTGATCCAAGTTTCAGAGGCGAAGTCCCCAAGTTTCAATATCAACATATCACCAAAAGCTCTTATAAAGTAGCTTTCATGATTTAAATTCATGTTACCGTCTGGATCATCATCCATATGTTGAAAGTGCTCGTTGTTGGGGAGATAGCCAACAAAATGCAAGTCCTTGTTTTATCATAATACTAGGACTTTCACCCGCGCACGCGCGGGTCTGTATCTTAAATCGGTTTAAAATATATTTTTAAAGTTTTTTTTTTAAACTGCAAAAATCAACAATTAAAATTTAATAATATTTCAATACCAAAATTCTCTGGAAAACAAAAGTTTTAGATATATAATATCGTGTTGAGATCAAATCTTGACATACAAAAATATTGTTTAGATCATATCCCGGTAACAAAAATGTTTGTGTATGTCTAATGACCAAAACTTACTTGAAGATATTCAAATCATTATAATAGGACAAACTTTATTAGTAATATATATATATGTAAAATGTAATGTTAATTTATGAACTATTGTGACGTGTTAATCATTTTCTAAACAGAAATATATTTTTAAATATGTATAGTGAAATTCTTAAAATTAGATGTCAACAGTATTTGTATGTAACACGATGTTTATTTAAAATAACTTCAATTCGTTATGTTAGAACTTAAAATGCTATAAACAACATATAATTTATTTTTCAGTACATTTAACTTACACATCGTGTTATTAGTTTATAAACTTTGATCATAATAGTATATATTTAGCTTTTATATAATATAAATTATGTATATTTTTTTATGGCTTAAAGAAAATCTTAAATCATTGTTTGTTCAATGTTGATTTTTTTGTTAGTAATTTTGTCACGTTTTTTATGCGTTATGTATACATTTCTTTTTAGAAGTAGTTTTATATTAATGTTTACTTGAATATTTCCGCCTTAAATTGTTTATAAATACATTCTTGTTCAAAAAATTTGTTAGTTACATATTTGTTTAGAAATTGCAAAATTCAGTTAGTGTTTATTTAATTGCAAAAATGGTTATTAACTCACCTCATATCATGTTTCTAATCAAATCGAGTAATCATATTTGGCAAGTTTATACTACACCAAAAATGAAATATTTCCTCTTGAATTTGATGGCAAAAGCTTTGTCTTGACCGATCAAACTCTGGCTGCTCATGGAATTGATACACCTCTGCAATCATTGTGATCATCAAAGAAACAGTCTCCATATCTTCTTCATATGTCTTTCTACAGTATGAGTCTTGGATCAAGCCCTGCTTCTCAATAAACTTATGGCAAACTCACACCTTTTTCAGAACTCTTTGAAGATGTAGAAAAACTGATTATTCTACCCCTAATAGGTTTATTGCCTATATCTCTTTATCCTTATATATTTTGCCATTTTTGGAAGGTTCGTGATTTTCTCTTATTTGAAAATCGTTATTTACATGGAGATGAAATCTTCTTAAAGGATGTGAAGGATGCCAGACATCAACCTTTCCCTCTCCGTTGACCTCCATTATCCTCCCGAATACGAACTCTTATTTTGTTGATGTAGGGTGGAATGCTTTCTCGAAAATTTGTTGTATAGGTTGCACTATTAAATCTCCTTTGAATTCTTCTGCTCCATAGTAATCCAAACAAACTATTTACTTTTTCGACCATTTTTTTGAAGCTACGATGAACTAAATATTATATAGTATGCTATTGTTTTCTTGATTTTTTGTTTTAGCTCCCAAAGCTTGATCTCTCTCATCACCTAAAAAAACTGCAAATGAACTCATATGTCTTCTATACGACATTACGCATTTTTGTTTCTATCTCCATTTTTTTATTCATAGATTATGTAATGTTGAGATCGACTCTTTTGCAATGTTGGCTTTGTTTGCTTAGAACAATTCTTCAGTTATTATGGTGTAACCTACTCTTTATTTGTAAAAACTTAAGTTTGGTCAAAGATAGTTCACCTTAAGGTTTATTTAATTCTTTATAACTAATATTTTAGTTATACAAATGTTTTTTATATAATTTTTAAAATAGTAAATTATATTTTTAACAAAAAAAAATTAAAATCTTAATTTAATTACGTTGGACTTGTGGAGTTTCTAATTTAAACCGGTTCTATTAATTAATTTTCTTGAAACATAAAAGAAGTTAACTAATTTTAAAAATATAGCTAATTTTAGATGATGATATAGATTAATATTATTGGCTGTTTAAAATTTGAAAAAATGAGATGATGATATAGATTAATACTATTGGTTGTTTAAAATTGGGAAAAAATTTAATTATGTAAATGTTTATGTGGACCAATAAGATGCGGTTTTATAATCTTATGTGGACACTCTTAATGCATTTAGCCTCAAATTTTATATTAAAAACATATTTATTAAAAAAATTAATTTAATCACTTTAGACTTGGAAGTTTCTAATTTAAACAGATTATAGTAATTAATATTCTTGAAACATAAGAAAGAAATTAACTAATTTAACAAATATAGCTAATTTTATATGATGATATAGATTAATACTATTGGTTGTTTAAAATTTGGAAAATTTCTTAATTTTATATGATTATGTGGAATGATACTATTGGTAGTTTAAAATTTGGAAACTTTCTAATTTAACAAATATATCTAATTTTATATATGATGATATATATTAATACTATTGGTTGTTTAAAATTTGGAAAATTTCTTAATTTTATATGATTATGTGGAATGATACTATTGGTAGTTTAAAATTTGGAAACTTTCTCAATCTTGAAGATGCTTATGTGGATCAATTAAATCGCGTTCTTAAATCCTATGTGGACGTCCTTAGAGGCTTATAGCCTCAACTTTTATATAATATAGATTCCCTTTGACCTGGTTTTAATTGATTTGCAAGATATGATGTTACTTGATCTCAGTA